CTTTATTTCTCCCCTAATCTAGGGAGAAACAAGTCTATTAACCCAGGGGTCCCCAACCCCCAGGCCATGAACTGGCATGGATCCGTGGCCTGTTAGGAAGCGGGCTGCACAGCAGGAGGTGAGCGAGGTGTGGGGAGCGAGCATTTCCACCTGAGCTCCACTTCCTGTCAGATAAGTGGCAGCATTCCATTCTCATAGGAGCATGAACCCTATTGTAAACTGCACATATGAGGGATCTAGGTTACCTGCTCCTTATGAGAATCTAATGCCTGCTGATCTGAGGTAGAACAGTTTCATCCTGAAACCATCCTTCAGTCCCCTTGATCCATAGAAAAGTTGTCTTCCATGAAACTGGTCCCTTGTGCCAGAAAGGTTGGGGACTGCTACATTAACCAGTAAGCAGAAATATAGTGAGTAATTTCTGTCTGGGTGAAAACTGAGTCCACTTAGGGTAGTAAGGGAGGTGCTATCCAAGAAATTAGAATCAATCTTAAAGGCCTTCTCTTTAAAAGTATAATAGTATATTCATTGAGATTGCATTATGAACACAATGCTTTCTCCATCAGAAATAAGCATTGTTTGTACTTACTGAATACTTAAGTCATGTAGATTGTATGTGGTCCCCCAAACGTCTTTTAAAAACTCACTTTATACGTTTATTGCCCATGTATCTCTTTGTTCTTGTAGTCCCTCTCTGCCCTATGAGTAATATTAAAAAAATGAGAAGTCGGTTTAGACAGTGCATCAGGCTTAAAGCACACAGAATGAAGGGAAGGTGGGGGAGATAGGAGGTTAAAGAAGAAAATTATTCAAGAAATTTAAGAGACATCCTTTGTTGTTGATACTTGGAGGATTAGAAAAACCCTATAGATAATTTGTTCTAGCAACCACCTCTTTCTAAGATACATGTAGGTATCTTTAGAAAAACGAGTGATCTCAAGAATGCAACAGACTGGGCTCAGTGGCCAACACCTGTAATTCCAGCACTTTGGGAAGCTAAGACAGAAGGATCACTTAAGCCCAAGAATTCAAGACTAGCCTGGGCAATATAGAGAGACCACCATTTCTACAGAAGATTTTTAAAAAGTAAGCCCGGCACGGTGGTGTGTGCCTGTAGCCCCAGCTACTCAGGAAGCTGAGGTGGGAGGATCCCTGGAACCTAGGAGTTTGAGATTGCAGTGAGCTATGATTGTGCCATTGCACTCCAGCCTGGGTAACAGAGTGAGGCCCTATCTAAAAAAAAAAAAAGTACAGTGGGAGTTTCTTAGGTGAGCACTGTTCTTAAAATTCTTGATGTGCTCAACTTTCTGATGTGTGGTGAGGACTTTTACTGATAGGACAAGTTAGAGGATCCCATTAATTTCCCATGTCGTCTTCAGTATCTTGTGAATGTTTATCAGAATTTGCTATCTGCACCATTCATGGCTGTAGGCAAATTCTTCAAGTATCCTTTGTCTTAAATCAGTATCCAGTTTTATTCATCTTCCTGTTTGTTGCTCATCACTTACTTATTGACCTATAGTTGTTACTTTGAAATATTACTTCAAAAAATGGTGCTGTGTAATTAACAGATTTTATGGACAATAACAGTCACTATTGAGTATTCAAAACTAAGAAATGCTAGGTATCTTAACTTTTTTTTTTTTTTGAGACAGGGTCTCGCTCTCTTGCCCAGGCTGGAGGGTAGTGGCATGAACACAGCTCACTGCAGCTTCAACCTCCTGGGTTTAAGTGATCCTTCTACTTTAAACTCCCAAGTAGCTAGGCCCATGGGTGCATGCCGCCACACCCAGCTGGTGGGTGTGTGTGTGTGTGTGTGTGTGTGTGTGTGTGTGTCTATTTTGTGTGTGTATGTGTAGAGACAAGGTCTCACCATGTTGCCTGGGCTTGTCTTGAACTCCTGGGCTCAAGCAGTCCTCCCGCCTTGCCTCCCAAAATGCTGGGATTACTGACATGAGCTACTACGCCTAGCATATCAGCTTTTTGTGTATGTGTCTTTTAGAGATGCAGTCTCTTGGCCAGTATAATTTTTACAAGTCTGAAATTCCAGTTTCTAATCTTGTTTATTTTGTTGGAAATTGATTTTTTTCTCCTTAAGTTATGACAGAGGCATTCTGTCAGATATAATTAATTGGTCACAGTTGAATCACGATGAGATGCCCAAGTTTGTAATCCAAATTCATGTGAGGAGGACATACTTCTTTGATCTGATTTCTTTTCTGTTTATTAGGAAAAAATAGTATTGAAGTATTTTTCTTAATGCAGAATAATATTAAAATAGGGGTATTGTAATGGCACATTTTTACTCTGGATCTAAAGTTTAAATATGATGGTTTTAATCGCAAAAGAAATAGTAAAATTGCTATGTATGCCAAGAAAACGTATACAAATTTAACATAATCTTTATAAACCAATAATAATATATACTTATTTCTGATTGGTTATTTTTTAAGCTGCCTTTAGTAGGTTACATTAGCCCATTAAAATACATCTTTAGTGTAATTTTTTTCTGATGTGTTTATCTTCAAAGTATAAGTTGGTACTTCTAAAGTGCTGTAAGATGCCAAACTCAAAGATAAAAGAGGGACATAGAATTGTGCTTTTGGAGTCAAGTTGGGACTACACCATGAAGCCTTATTAAAATGTTAGTTTGTTCTGACAAGTGCCATGAGTATTTTTAAGAACCTGAACATGCTTCTAAAGTTTAATAGACAGACAAAAGCCCCTTAAGGAAAAAGAAAAGCACCGTTGAAGTAATGTACTTCTGTTAAAATAATAGCCTCCCTTTTAGACATATTTTATGCCTCTGCTTAAATTTTTAAATTTTTTTACTTGTTAGCAATTTGCATAGAATCATTCAGAGTTGTAAATTTAGGTAGTAATAGAACTACTCAATTTTTTCAACTCTGTCTAGAAAAGCTTTTTTTTGCATTCTTTATGTTTATTTAAAATGCAACTATTTCTATATAAGTTTAATACTAGATATTTATACATAAAACACAACATGGTACTATAATGACATCATATTCTTTTACTGTTCCATATGAAAATTACAAAGATAATATCTTGTTTGTTTTGTTACAGGTACATATTATTTTTAATGTACCAAGAACAGAACTTATATGTTAATAAAAATCCTTTGGAAAGCTTACATGCTGAGAAATACTGTAACAATTTAAGTTCTATTGAATACAGAATTAACATTTCTAAAATATGTATAAATTACATTATGACAATACATTTATGCAGTCTGTTTTTACTGAGTTTCACACGTAGTAACCAAGTCCTCCCTGTTCTTTGTTAATCTATGATTTAGTCATTTAATGTAGATTAATAATAATTCTGCATTTATGCAATTCATGATTTTGAGCAGGTAGTTCTTTTTTCTCTTAATGTAAGTTTATTATAATAGCACAGCTAATCATTGATTATCCAATAAATGAATACAGAAAAGAGCATTAAGAAGTATAATTTAAAAATTTTTAATTTTAATTGAGTCAGTATTTTTAATGTTTTTTCAGTAGCAACTTCTGTAATTACTCTACCACTTTAAAAAAAGCTTTCAGTGACACATCTAAAAAGTAGACAAGTTGACAGCTTGTATAATTTCATTTTAGCTCATTAATTTAGTTTCTATTAGAGGTGCTAAGGATGAATGACTTATGATTAAAAGACGGGGGTAGGGGAGTCTTAAAAATTTACATACTCAATCACCTTGGAAAAAGACAGCACATGAACTCAGCATTTCACAGAAAACCTTTTTTCCCCCCTAACTTATCTCAAGAGTATATTATTCTGATTTTAAAAAAATGGCTACAGAAAACACCATAACTTTCATGATTCATAGAATGTACTCAAATAATTCAAATTGTTAAAGTATTTTATCTTCTGGTTCTAGTCCTTTTAAAGAATGAAGTAATGCTTGAGATGTTCTATAAACCCTTAGTCATATTAGTACATTATGGGTTCCTTTTATTAGCATTTTTTTTTCAAGTAATAAAAAATCTCGATTGCACACTCTGCATTCTAGTCATGGGAAAATCTTGACTTTTAGCCTAGCCATCAAGTCAACATTGTCCTTTAAGATTCCTATTGTTAACCTCATTAATTCCAACTAATAAAATAAAAACCTCATATATACTCGGATAATACTTTGGACTAGACAAAATGGTTGCAGAGTTGTGTACCTCATTTCATTGCCTTCATGGAAATTTACATTAATTAATTTATGCTCCCTCTTCATCACTGATATGGCTACCTTAAATCCTCAAAGGGGAAGAATACATCTCAGGAAGTATGTGGAGTTAAAAATTTCATTATCAGAAATCATTTTATATTATAAAGTTAATCTTAAGAGAATTTAAAAAACTATTCATTTGCAGCCAATATGATTTCTAAACCTTTTACTAGTTTCATAGTGATATTTGGCTGTAGCAATTGCTGTTCCTAAATTTTTCATAGAGCTCTTATGGTAGAAACATACAAGAAGTAATGTTCATTAAATAATATAATTATCACCAACAATACTAGCTCTTTGAATTCATTGACCTTTATTAGCTACTTTGGAAAACACAGCTCAAGAGGCAGTCACACAACTTTGTAGGCTTGTAGTTTAGTGATCCCACACTTAAGCTTTGCAAATGGCTGCTCACCCCCTTCAAGTAGTTGTCAGGTGACTTTTAACATTATATTCCTTCATATGATCACTTGAATAGAGAATGTGCTGTGGGAAAAAGAAAAAAGAGATTGGTATTGCAAAGCTGACTTGAGTCCCTTCTTTAATACCTGATTGTGTATGTTGACATTTTACCCTACTGTCCAGCATTCCTTTTTAACTCACATTATGCTGAATTACATGTAGATTATTGTTTTAAAAATATTTTTGAAAAAATGTTATAGTGTATTTTCTTAAGATGTAAAAATTTAGGAAATTTAGCATATCTTGAAGGGAAAATTCTAAGTATACTAATGGCTTTTTAAAATAATCATTTATTTGCTAGGTAAGTTCTCTTCTACGCTGTATGAGACTGGTGGCTGTGATATGTCACTTGTGAATTTTGAACCAGCAGCAAGAAGAGCATCCAATATCTGGTATGTATGAAGTCACATTAGGAGCATGTGTACTTTCATATGTTTGCCATGTTTAATGTTAAGCCTAGAACTATAAAAGTTAAGTTTTTTGTTTTTATAATTTTTTTAATGTTTCTAATTGACAAATAAAAATTATAAATATTTATGGCATGCAACAGGTTTTGAAATATCGTATACGTTGTAGAATGGCTAAATTGAGCTAAAATTAACATGTATTACTTCACATACTTATAATTTTGTTTGTGGTGAGGACACTTAAATCTACTCTTTTAGTAATTTTCAAGTATTTAGTACATTGTTAACTGTAGTCACCAGGTCAGATATAAAATTTATTTTGATAGCATCTTTATAATGACTATAATATTTTGTCACAATGCATTTGTTTCTAAAAACTTAAGGTAGAATTTTTTTGCTGTGGAGAAAAGAAGGCATTATTTTTAAAATAAAAGCTATTCTGTATTTTAAAGCTAAATCAAAATATTCCGAAGATCTTATAGTGGCACAGTGTTTTCCCACAGTGTCAAATTCAGTTGTAAATTTCATGTTCTCTGTGTATTGTATAATGTATTAAAGCTAATCAGGGCTTAACTCTTCTTGTAAGTTCTTATATAACTAAGTTCAAGTCCATCAGTTAGTTCTCTTCCTTTATGTAATTTTAAAATTTTACTTCCTTGTGTTTGGTCAAGTACCTTTTTAAATAATCAGCTTTCATTTTGTTTAAAATTTACTAGCTTTAAGGAAGAATTTCTTAAAGCATATGTCATATGTTACCTTTAGCTTCTTTTCTTTTCCCCCTTCTGAAGAAAGTTGTAAGATAATGAAGTCAGGAGAGCAAATAAATTAGAAATCTTGATCATAAAACATAATTACAGTTTTAGAAGGTATTAAAATTTTTGTTTTCTAAAATTTTAATCTTATTGCTTATCTATTCAAATTGCACTTTGAAGCCTATTCTTGATTAATTGGCTTTCTTTTCCCTCAAGAGTTATTGATTCTTATTTCAGGACTTGTTTAATAATACATCACGTCTATTTACATGTTACACATCTATGGGCAGTTTACTTATTTTTTTGTTTTGAGGGACCTTGTAAAGCTGAGAAAGTAGAACATATAGATAACTGCTCTTTAAGCTCCTTTGGTACAGTTTCAGAATTCACTCTCTCAAAAAATTATTAAATTGGACTCTTACCATGATTCTATAACAGTGGAAACAGTAGGAGGATGGAGGGATAGAAACGCTGTTGCCGTGTTTAATTTAATTCAAGAGAACAATTTCTTACACCATAAATGTGGTAAAGTTTCAGGTTTTAAAATCCAAACATTACTGAACTGTGGAAACTGAATTATGTTGTAGGTTATTAGATTATACCTTAAATTTATTGTGTCTTTATTGGTTAGCAATATGTTAATTGTTTTCTTTGGATTATCTCATTTAAACACTTTCACAAGAACGTTGTGATACAGATGCTCTTGTTACGTGTTACTGAAGAGGAAATGGAAGTATAAAGTGGGGAGGTAACTAGTCCAAGATCTTACTCATTCGAAGAGATTTGAATGTAGACACTGACCCAGAGGCTATGCTCTTATCATAACTGTAGGAAAATGCTATTTTACATTTTGAAGTTAACATGGAAAAGTGAAGATACGTGAATCTCATCTGATTGTTAAAGGATATATTTTTCTTTCTGTTTCACAAACTGTTTGTTCCCTAAAGTCTTTTTTATTTTATTTTAGTGACACAGATTCTCATGTATCCAGTTCTACCTCAGTTCGATTTTATCCACATGATGTGGTACGTTTTTCCTTCTTTTTACAAGATGATATGTTTTCAGATTAAATCTGAAATATGTATTTATATAGATAGCTATAAAAGCCATAAAAAGTGAAGTTACAAAAAGATTTTTTGCAAACTATGGTAAAATCACCTTTGCTGTCTTTGTCCTCCAGTGGCTCTCTTTTTCTAAGTCCTTTAATAAGAAACAAAAGTACAAGGTTAAGAAGCCCTGGGATAGAGTATTTTAAAAGGTATTTTGGAAAGTATTTGTCAATGCCTAGAGATAGAAATGGCTGTGTTATACATAGAAAGTAAATTTTCTCAACTGTACCCAGAAATGTGTTTGAAAAGTAAAAACCCTCCCTAATTTTTGGCTATAGTGTATTCCTGGAAACGCCATAGGAAAGCAACATGGGAAGATTATTGTTTTATTGTTTTGTACTTTTAAATGATAGGGGAGCCTTGGGGTAGCGAAATGCTGCCTAGTACTGTGCCAGATACAGTTAACTTTTGATGCTTTCAGGGGAAAAGGAAACTGGTAAACTCGTGCATGGATGAGTTGAAGTTAAAACAAATGTAGTATGGTAATTTCTTGTATAACCTCAAGTGAGCAGCCTACCAAAACAAGCAAACAAAAAAACAACAAAAAAACAGGGGCAGGGATTTGGAAATATAGTTAACAATTATAAGAGACTATGGGAAGAAGTAAGAGTTGCTGCCATCAGCTCCAATGCAGTGGAGCTCAGATTTGACACTGATAAATGAGGTTCAAAGCTTAAGGAGAAAAGATTATAAATGTACCAGGGAGAAGAGAAGCCACTAACGATCCACAATAAGTGGTTTTCATGGATTCACTAGCTATACAGTTATAAAATCTTAAGATTTTTTTAAAGTATTCTCTGAGAAAATCTTAAAATTTCAAATACCTTTCTAGTCAATGATTTACAAAAGGTTTATTGATTAATTTATTTTGTTTTAGTTCACTTCCTGTTGTCACCTTCTTATGGTTTCTGGTAGTCATATTCATAAAGAGTAGCCTGGGTGCAGTGGTTCATGCTTGTAATCCTAGCACTTTGGGAGGCTGAGGCGGATGGATCACGAGGTCAGTAGTTCAAGACCAGCCTGGCCAAGATGGGAAACCCTGTCTCTATTTAAAATAGAAAAAAAAAATTAGCTGAGTATGGTGGCAGGCACCTGTAATCCCAGCTACTTAGGAGGCTGAAGCAGAGAATGAATTGGTTGATCCCAGGAGGCAGCGGTTACAGTGAGCCGAGATTGTGCCACTGCACTCCATCATGGGTGACAGAGCAAGACTCTGTCTCCAAAAAAAAAGAGTGTACTAGAGAAGAAAATTAAGAGGCTTAGATAACTGATAAGCTAATTGAGTAACTCTTGAATCTTGAAGTTTTTTTTTGAATAAACATATTTAATAAATATCAAAGATATTTTAAGCCTTTCAATGCTGACTTTCTTTTAGCTCTCTCTCCCACAGATTCGATTGAATAGACTATTGACCATTGATACAGATTTGTTGGAGCAACAGGACATTGATCTAAGCCCTGACTTGGCAGCTACTTACGGCCCAACAGAAGAAGCTGCCCAAAAGGTTAAACACTATTATCGTTTTTGGATCCTACCCCAGCTGTGGATTGGCATTAACTTTGACAGACTCACACTTTTGGCCCTGTTTGATAGGTGAGATTATATTATGATATTAACGATATATATAGATTTTAAGTTGAAGTGTCCTTAATTACCCACTGAGGTTTTTAACTGGTTATCATGTTGGGAAATGTTTTCTGCTTTTGTCCTCTTGAGATCAAACTTAAGGTAGCCGGGTGCGGTGGCTCACGCCTGTAATCCCAGCACTTTGGGAGGCCAAGGCAGGTGGATCACAAGATCAAGAGATCGAGACCATCCTGGTCAACATGGTGAAACCCCATCTCTACTAAAAATACAAAAAATTAGCTGGGCATGGTGGTGTATGTCTGTAGTCCCAGCTACTCAGGAGGCTGAGGCGGGAGAATTGCTTGAACCCAGGAGACGGAGGTTGCAGTGAGCTGAGATTGTGCCATTGCACTCCAGCCTGGGTAACAAGAGTGAAACTCTGTCTAAAAAAAAACAGAAAAATTAAGGTGATAGGGCTTCTAAACATTGCCTGTTTTAAATCCATTAAAAATGTTTTTGTTGCAATTTTAGTACTTTATACAAAGAAATTATTTTTGTTATCAATGAGACTCATACAACTGCTACTCAAAAGCCAAAGAATATGAGATGTTAATGATCTTAAGGTTATAGGTAATATAATCCAAAATACTATACAACAGTTATAAGAGGGAGATTCTGTTTCTGTGTTTCTTAACACTACTATATTAATGGCAAACACATGAGTCTACTATATTACAAACTTGGTGACCAACAGCTGCTTCCAGTCAACATGGAGTAATAGGACTGGATTTATATCCCATGTGAAACAACCAAAATAGACAAAGTACATGAAACAGTGGTTTTCAAGACATTGGAGATGAGAAGGAAAAGGACAGTGATCCCTGAGAGATGACAACAAATAACATGAACCCTACAATTGCCCCAGCTTAACGCTTTGAGAGAGTTTCTAGGCTGCAAGACAAGAAGGGAGAACAGAAATAGAGTCCAGCTGACTTCCTGAGTTAAGGAGATAGAGCTAAGAGTCCAGGGAGACTATGGCAGTTAGAGCCCATAGGACAGACTGACAGGAGAGAGCTGCTTAGAGAGAGAACCTTAGAGATCTGCATTGAGTCACCTTGACTGTTTGACAGAGTATGGATAAGTTCCTATATGCGAGGAAACTATTTGAGGCCAGGGAAAGAGCCATGTGAAAAGGAATAGAGGAACGGTTCCAGGCAATCACACAGCACTGGGAATAGTACGTTTCCCTACCAGCCAGATTGGAGATGTTTATGATTCATATTTTATGGTGCCTTATATAGAATACTCAGGAAAATCTTTCAAAGTGGGGAATAATTAGCCCTAGCAGGAGCACTACTTCAGACCCACCTAACAAGTCATAAAACACAGACCTGAAGGGATCAAACTGTTTCCAAGTAACATAAAGTCTAAGAAGATTTAAGGAAATCCAGAAATACGCAGCCCCCAACAAGTTAAGACTCACCATGTCTAGCATTCAGTCAAAGATGACCAGATGTGCAAAGAAGTGAGAAAACATGACCTATAACAAGAATAATAAATCAGTTGAGACCAAACTGTAGCTTGCATAGATATTAGAATTAGCAGACAAAGACATTAAAACAGTTACAATTGCTTTCCAAATGTTTAAAAAGTTAACTATAAAGAAAAATATAAAAAGTTAACTACATAGAAGATACTTTCAAAAGTCCCAAATCAAACTTACAGAGTTGAAAACTATAATCCTTGAGATTAAAAATATACTGAACGTGGTTAATGGTAGATTGAACCTTGTAGAAGAAAAGATTAGTGAACTCGAAGACATAGCAATGGAAACTATCCAGAATGAAACAGAAAGAAGAGTCTTCTCCCCACTGTCCCCGATGAAAAGAGTATAAAAACAAAATGAGAGAAAGCTATGGGACAACTACAAGAGGAAATAGACAAAAGATTTTGAAGAAATAAGGGTGGAGAACTTTCCAATTTTGATGAAAACTATGAACACATTCAAGAAGCCCAGTGAACCTTAAGCATAACGTACTTGAATAAAACTACACCAAGACACACGACTACTCAAAACCAGTGATAACATTTTTTAAATTGCAAGAGAAAAAAAGAGGAGCAAGGATAAGGAAGACATACTTTTTATTGTTAGAAATAATGAAATGAAAAGACAGTAGAGGAGCATCTTTAAAGCATTGAAAAGAAAAAACCCTGTCAACCTACAGTTCTATACATAGAAAAAATATCTTTTAAAAACCAAAGTGAAATAAAGACATTTTCGGATCAGAATAAATGGGAAGACTTCTTTATGAGCAGACCCACACTACACAGAATGTTGAAAGATGTCTTTCAGGCAGAATGAAAGTTATCTCAAATGGAAATATGAGTCTACCCAAAGGAACAAAGATAAATGGAAATGGGAAGTCATTACATGGGTAAATATAAAAGATTTTTTCTTATTAATTAAATCTCTTTAAGAGTTAACTGACTATTTAAACGAAAATAATGCTTTGTGTGGTTTATAACATGTAAAAGTAAAATTTATGATCATAATAGCGTAAAGGCAGAGAAGGGAGAAATAAAAGCATACTATTGTAAGTTTCTTATATGTGAAGTGCTGTATCATTGAATGTAGACTGTCATAAATGTGTATTGTAAACCCTAGGCTGCCTGGGATTATAGGCTTATACCTGTAATCCCAGCTCTTTGGGAGGCTGAGGCAGGAAGATCACTTGTGAGCCCAGGAGTTTGAGGCGCCAGCCTTGGCAACCTAGCGAGACTGTCTCTACAAACATATTTTTAAAAATTCTTACCAAAACCTACCCTAAGGCAACCATTAAAATAACAAAAGACTTGTAGCTAATATGTCAAAATGAGATAAGATGGATTATAGAAATTACTCTGTTAATCAAGAAAATGGAAAAAGATAAAAGTTGAGACAAATAGGAAACAAATGACTTGGCAGATTAGATAAAAAAGAACAAGACTCAACTCCAAGCTGCCTACAAGTAATGTACTTTTACTGTAAAAATGGAGGCCATTGTGGTGGCTTATGCCTATAATCCCAGCACTTTGGGAGGCTGAAGTGGGAGGATCTCTTGAGGCCCAGTTTTCAAAACCAGCCTTGGCAATATACACCCAGTTTCTACCAAAACAAAATACAAACAAATAGGTTAAAAGATAGAGAAAGTTATACCATGCTAACGTTAAGGAAAGGCTTATTGTAGTGGCTGTATTAAAGTCAGATAAAGTAGATTTCAGAACAGAGACTATTACCAAGGATAAAGAAGGCCATTTCATAATGATAAAGAGTCAGTCCACAGGATTTAACAGTCCTAAGTGTTTGTATACCTAAAAACAGAGCTTTGGAATTTATAAAGCAAAAGCTAATAGATTTCAGCACTTCTTTTTAAATAATTGATAGACTATTTAGAAACTCAGTGAGGATATGTACTGAACTTTAACAGTATTATTAACCAACCTAAAGTGGTTGACATTTACAGAACACTTCACCCATAACAAGAGAATATACATTTTCCTAACTGCTCACAGAACATGTACTAAGATAGATAATGTTTTTAGCCATAATACAAGAGTCAGTAAATTTTAAAAGATCCACTGTCCAATTATACATAGTGGGATTAAATGGTAAATTAAATCAAATAGAACCTTGGAAAAATCCCCAAATATTTGGAAACTAAATAACACTTCTAAATAACCCATGGATTCGAGAAAATGTCAAGAGAGAAATTAGTAGATGCCACTAACCTGCAGTTCTTAGGAATATTTTTAGCACTAAACACCTAGATTAGAAAAGAAGGGTCTCCAATCAATGACTTAACCTTCCACTTACTAAAAGAACAAGAGCACATAAGCCCAACTAAACAAAAGAAACGTAATAGTAAGGAACAAAACAATTCAGTGAGGACACAGAGAAACAATAAAGAAAATCAAGGAAATGAAAAGTTTGAGAACATCAATTGATAAACTTTTAGCCTGCCTGACCAGAAAAAAAAAGAAAGACATAGATTACCAATATGAAGAATATGAGTTATGATATCACTACAGACTGTACAGGTATTAAAAGGATAATTAGAGAACAGTATGAGCAGCTGTCTGCAAATAAATTCAGCATTGGACAAATGAACAAAATTCTTGAAAGACAAATTACGAAATTTCATTCTGAAAGAAGTACTTGACCTTAATTGTCTTACATGTATTAAGTAAGTGGAAATTGTAGTTTAGAAACTAAACCACAAAGAAAACTCTAGGCCCAGGTGGCATCAAAATAATATTTAGATGAATGAAAGGGAGAAAGGATAACCTTTTCAACAAATGGTGGTGGAACAATTGGATTTACATATGTAGAAAAATAGAGATGGACGCAGAGGTGTGTGCAGGAGGCTGAGGTGAGAGGATTGTTTGAGACCAGCCTGGGCAAGGTAGCAAAACCTCATCTCAAGCAAATAAAAATAAGAAACTTATAGCCTTACCTTGTGCCACATTATGAAAATGTCTCATTGGCTTAAATGTGAAACTTAAAACTTCTGGGAAAATAAAAAGACATAGGAGAAAATTTTTATGAACTTGGATTAGACAAAATTACTTAGCTATGATGCCAAAAACAAGATCAATAAAAAAAATTGATACACTGGACTCATCAAAATTGAAAAATTTTTAAAAGCTAAAGACAAGATGTGTTCAATGACAAGGGAGGCACAATTCAGGCAGGCAAAGGATTGAAAAGAGGTCATTGGATTTAGCAAATCTGAAATTGCATAACTACCACCTAAAATCAAATAGAAATGCCAGTAACGCATTGATTTGGAAATTCTATTGAACTTTTTTATCTGGTAGAACCATTAAAGGAAATAGTACAAAGATGTTAATGTTTTATTTTTGGGCCCAATTGATTGTGATAAATACAGAATTGGGTTAATAAAAAACTTTTTTTAATGATTATAAAAGTAATTCCTTGTTGAAAATTTAAATATGTACAAAGTTTTGAAGACAGAGGCAAACAGTGATTCTTCCATGGAAAGAAGCATCATTATTAATACTATTTTTGATATATTGTCCTTTTTAACCTATATGTTTAATTTTTTAATAGCAGAACTTATATCCTTCTATGCTCATGGTTTTGTGTCCTGCTTTCTTTATGTAGCAGATATGCTGAGCATTTTTTCCTTTTTTAATAGTCCTTAATTTTTAATTTTTAAAAAATTTAATATTTTAATTTTTCCTTTAAAAATATGACTTAAAAGTATTTTAGGGAAATACTAAAGGATGTATTTGTATAACATTTTGTGATTAAAATTTTCCAGGAAGTAATGAGATAGATTCTTTTGTGTGTGTGACATAAAAATAATCTTCATTTATATAGATATATATACACACATATATATGTAAATCTTGAGCATGATACTGTTTCTCTTACAATGTCAGTTTAATATAGAATTGTCTTAGCAACTTTGATAGAAGCAGATATAGGTTTTTGTCCCTACCTTTATTCTCAAGACATGTAACAGCCCATATTTAAGTAATTCTAATAAGTGAGTTTCTATTTCTTTCAGATGATTCAGAGATGGGGGAAGTGAAATCATGTAGTGCCAGAATTTTGCTACAACTTTGTCATATAACAAATGTTTTAAATTTAATTTTCTAGAAACTATTTTGAGATTTTGTTTTTTAAACATAACTTGATTTTTTGTATGCATATTTGATTTACCATCCAAGTTGGTTAGATGTTTGCAACCAATGAAACAGAAAAGCAGATAATAAGGAGAGTAATATTTTTAAAATAGAAATTAAAACTGTTATGTAATTGGAACTCCACAATTCACTGTAATGTGTTTTATTTGTACATAAGAATTCATGTTATGTCCATATGAAACTAGTTTGTTTTAAGTATGATCTAAAACCTTGTTCAAACTCAGTACCAGAAAGACATCTCAGCATATAATGAACTTTATATTTATATCTTCCCTTCCCTTTTTAACATTCAGTTAATTTCTTATATTTATGATATACTTACTCATAAGTTTTTCTATCTGTAGAAATCGTGAGATCCTAGAAAATGTGTTAGCTGTCATCCTGGCTATTCTCGTGGCTTTTTTGGGATCTATTCTTCTTATACAAGGCTTCTTCAGAGATATCTGGGTCTTCCAGTTCTGCCTGGTCATAGCCAGTTGTCAATACTCACTACTTAAGGTACCAGCATCTTTTCTTTTCATGCTATGGAATTATATTTGTGTTAAAGGCAGAAGATTTTGTATCATTTACTGAATTAGAGTAAGATAATTATTTTAGGCTTACATTTCTTGGATGTTTACATAAGATTGTGTAGAGAACAAAAGGGGGGATATAAATCTTAAAAATAATTAAGATTATGTTTTAATATGTAAATTTATGGAAGTTCTAATTATATAAATTAGAGCTTCGTAAAAACTATTTTTTCTATTAAAAGAAAATTGTATTTGTTAAAATAAGATTTTGCTTTTTTTTTTTTTAACAGTAGTAGATATTATTTTTTATTATACTTTAAGTTCTAGGTTAGTTCTAGGTTGTTGAGAATGTGCAGGTTTGTTGTACATAGGTATACACATGTCATGGTGGTTTGCCTTACCTATCAACCTGTCATCTACATTAGGTATTTCTCCTAATGTTATCCTTCCCCTAGTACCTCTCCCCCTGACAGGCCCTGGTGTGTGATGTTCCCCTCCTTATGTCCATGTGTTCTCACTGCCTAACACCCACTGAAGAGTGAGAATATGCAGTGTTTGGTTTTCTGTTCCTGTGTTAGTTTGCTAAGAATAATGGTTTCCAGCTTCATCCATGTCCCCGCAAAGGACATAAACTCATCCTTTTTTATAGCTGCATAGTATTCCATGGTGTATATGTGGCACATTTTCTTTGTCCAGTCTATCATTGATGGGCATTTGGGTTGGTTCCAAGTCTTTGTTATTGTGAGCAGTGCTGCAGTAAACATACATGTGCATGTGTCTTTATAGTAGAATGATTTATAATCCTTTGGGTATATACCTAGTAATGGGATTACTGGGTCAAGTGGTATTTCTAGTTTTAGATCCTTGAGGAATCACCACACTGTCTTCCACAATGGTTGAACTAATTTATGCTCCCAACAACAATGTAAAAACATTTCTATTTCTCCACATCCTCTCTAGTATCTGTTGTTTCCTGACTTTTTAATGATCGCCATGCTAATTGACATGAGATGGTATCTCATTGTAGTTTTGATTTGCATTTCTCTAATGACCAGGGATGATGAGTTTTTTTTCATAGGTTTGTTGGCTGCATAAATGTCTTCTTTTGAGAAGTGTCTGTTCATATCCTTTGCTCACTTTTTGATGGAGTTGTTTTTTTCTTTTAAATTTGTTTAAATTTCTTGTAGATTCTGGATATTAGTTAGCCCTTTGTCAGATAGGTACATTGCAAAAATTTTCTCCTATTCTGTAGGTTGCCTGTTCACTCTCGTGATAGTTTCTTTTACTGTACAGAAGCTCTTTAGTTTAATTAGATCCCATTTTTCAATATTGGCTTTTGTTGCCATTGCTTTTGGTGTTTAGTCATGAAGTTTTTGCTCATGCCTGTGTCCTGAATGGTATTGGCTAGGTTTTCTTCTGTGGTTTTTATGGTGTTAGATCTTATATTTGTGTCTTTAATCCATCTGGAGTTAATTTTTGTATAAGGTGTAAGGAAGGGGTCCAGTTTTAGTTTTCTGCATATGGCTAGCCGGTTTTCCTAACACCATTTATTAAATAGAGAATTATTTTCCCATTGCTTATTTTTGTCAGGGTTTCAAAGATCAGAGGACTGTAGATATAGCATAATTTCTGAGGCCTCTGTTTTGTTCCATTGGTCTATAAATCTGTTTTGGTCCCAGTACCATGCTGATTTAGTTACTGTAGCCTTGTGGTATAGTTTGAAGTCAGGTAGCATGCTGCCATCAGCTTTGTTCTTTTTGCTTAGGATTGTCTTGGCTATACAGGTTCTTTTTTGGTTCCATATGAAATTTAAAATAGTTTTTTCTAATTCTGTGAAGAAAGCCAATGGTATCTTGATGAGGATAGCATTGAATCTATAAATTACTTTGGGCAGTATGGCTCTTTTCATGATATTGATTATTCCCATCCATGAATATGGAATGTTTTTCTATTGATTTGTGTCCTCTCTTATTTTCTTGAGCAGTGGTTTGTAGTTCTCCTTGAAGAGGTCCTTCACATCCCTTGTAAGTTGTATTCCTAGGTATTTTATTCTCTTTGTAGCATTTGTGAATGGGAGTTCACTCATAATTTGGCTCTCTGTCTGTTACTGTTGTATAAGAATGCTTGTGATTTTTGCACATTGATTTTGTATCCTGAGACTTTGCTGAAGGTTGCTTATCAGCTTAAGGAGATTTTGGGCTGATACGATAAGGTTTTCTAAACATACAATGATGTCATCTACAAACAGAAACAATTTGACTTCCTGTCTTCCTATTTGAATACCCTTTATTCTTTCTCTTGCCAGAGTATCCTAGCCAGAACTTCCAATAGTATGTTGAATAGGAGTGGTGAGTGAGGGTATCCTTGTCTTGTGTTGGTTTTCAAAGGGAATGCTTCCAACTTTTGCCCATTCAGTATGATATTGGCTATGGGTTTGTCATAAATAACTCTTATTATTTTGAGATAAGTTCCATCAGTCCCTAGTTTCTTGAGAGTTTTTAGCATGAAGGGGTGTTGAATTTTATCGAAGGCCTTTTCTGCATCTTTTGAGATAATCATGTGGTTTTTGTTATTGGTTCTGTTTATGTGATGGACTGCATTTATTGATTTGCATATGTTGAACCAGCCTTGCATCCCATGGTGAAGCTGACTTGATCATGGTGGATAAGCTTTTTGATGCGTTGCTGGATTTGGTTTGCCAGTATTTTATTGAGGATTTTCACATTGATGTTCATCAGGGATATTGGCCTGAAATTTTGTTGTTGTTGTTGTTGTTTCTCTGCCAGGTTTTGATATCAGGATGACGCTGACCTCATAAAATGAGTTAGGGAGGACTCCCTCTTTTTGTATTGTTTGGAATAGTTTCAGAAGGTATGGTACCAGCTCCTCTTTGTACCTCTGGTAGAATTTGGCTGTGAATCCATCTGGTCCTGGGCTTTTTTTTTTTTTTTTGCTTGGTAGGCTATTAATTACTGCCTCAATTTCAGAACTTGTTATTGGTCTATTCAGGGATTCGACTTCTTCCTGGTTTAGTCTTGGAAGGGTGTATATGTCCGGGAATTTATCCTTTATTTCTTCTAGGTTTTCTAGTTTGTTTGCATAGAGGTGTTTATAGTATTCTCTGTTGGTATAGTATTTTCTCTTGGTTGGTAGGCTATTAATTACTACCTAAATTTCAGAACTTGTTATTGGTCTCTTCAGAGATTCGGTTTCTTCCTGATTTAGTCTTGGAAGGGTGTATATGTCCAGGAATTTATCCATTTCTTGTAGGTTTTCTAGTTTATTTGTGTAGAGGTGTTTATAGTATTATTTAGTTTATTTGTGTAGAGGTATTTATACTATTTTCTAGTTTATTTGTGGAGAGGTGTTTATAGTATTCTCTGATGGTGAAATCCCCTTTATCATTTTTTACTGTATCTATTTGATTCTTCTCTCTCTTCTTCTTTATTAGTCTGGCTAGTGGTCTATATATTTTGTTAATGTTTTCAAAAAAAACCAGCCCCAGGATTCATTGCTTTTTTTTCTTTTTTGTAAGGTGTATTATGTATCTCCTTTAGCTCTGCTGTGATTTTAGTTATTTCTTGTCTTCTGCTAGCTTTTGAATTTGTTTGCTCTTGCTCTCTAGTTCTATTAATTGTGATGTTAGGGTGTCGATTTTAGATCTTCCCACTTTCTCCTGTGGACATTTAGTGCTATAAATTTCCCTCTAAACACTTCTTTAGCTGTGTCCCAGAAATTCTGTGACATTGTGTCTTTGTTCTCATTGGTTTCAAGGAATTTATTTATTTCTGCTGTTATTTCGTTATTTACCTAGTAGTCATTCAGGGGCAGGTTGTTGAGTTTCCATATAACTGTGCGGTTTTGACTGAGTTTCCTAATCCTGAATTCTGATTTGATTGCACTGTGGTCTGAGAGACTGTTTGTTATGATTTCCATTCTTTTTCATTTGCTGAGGAGTGCTTCACTTCTAATTATGTGGTTAATTTCAGAATAAGTGCTGTGTGGTGCTGAGAAGAATGTATATTCTGACAATTTGGGGTGGAGAGTTCTGTAGATGTCTATTAGGTACACTTGGTCCAGATCTGAATTCAAGTCCTGAATATTCTTGTTACTTTTCTGTCTTGTTGATCTGACTAATATTGACAGTAGGGTGTTAAAGTCTCCCACTATTATTGTATGGGAGTCTAAGTCTTTTTGCAGGTCTCTAATAACTTGATTATGAATCTGAGTGCTCCTGTATTGGATGCATATATATTTAGGATAGTTAGCTCTTCTTGTTATATTGATCCCTTTACCATTATGTAATGCCCTTCTTTGTCTTTTTTGATTTTGTTGGTTTAAAGTCTGTTTTATCAGAAACTAGGATTGCACCCCCTGTTTTTTTACTTTGCGTTTGCTTGGGAAATATTCCTGCATCCCTTTATTTTGAGCCTATATGTGTCTTTGCACATGAGATATATCTTCTGAATACAGCATACCAATGGTTCTTGACTCTTTATCCAATTTGCCAGTCTGTGTCTTCTATTTGGGGCATTAAGCCTGTTTATATTTCAGGTTAATATTGCTATGTGTGAATTTGAAATTGCCATTATTATGCTAGCTGGTTATTTTGCCCATTAGTTGCTATAGTTTCTTCATAGTGTCAATGGTCTTTACAATTTTGTATGTTTTTGCAGTGGCTGCTATCAGTTTATTCTTTCAATATTTAGTGCTTCCTTCAGGAGCTCTTGTAAGGCAGGTCTGGTAGTAACAAAAGCTTTCAGCATTTGCTTGACTGTAAAGGATTTTATTTCTCCTTCACTTATGAAGCTTAGTTTGGCTGGATATGCAATTGTGGGTTGAAAATTCTTTTTTTTAAGGGTGTTGAATATTGGCCCCTACTCGATTCTGGCTTGCAAGGTTACTGCAGAGAGATCTGCTTTTAGTCTGAAGGGCTAACCTTTATGGGTAACCTGACCTTTCTCTCTGGCTGCCCTTAACATTTTTTCCTTCATTTCAACCTTGGCGAATCTGACGTTTACATGTCTTGGGGTTGCTCTTCTTGAGGAATATCTTTGTGGTGGTCTCTGTATTTTCTGAATTTGAATTTTGGCCTGTCTTGCTAGGTTGGGAAGTTCTTGATAATATTCTGTAGAATGTTTTTCAACTTGGTTCTATTCTCCCCATCACTTTCAGGAACACCAGTCAAACATAGGTTTGGTCTTTTCACCTAATCCCATATTTTTTGGAGGCTTTGTTTGTTCCTTTTCATTATTTCTCTAACGTTATCCTCATGCTTTATTTTATTAAGTTGATCTTCCATCTCTGATATCCTTTTTTGTGCTTGATCAATTTGGCTATTGAAACTTGTGTATGCTTCACAAAGTTCTTGTGCTATGTTTTTCAGCTTCATCAAGTCATTTATGTTTTTCTCTAAACTAGTTATTATAGTTAGCAATTCCTTTAACCTTTTTTCAAAGTTCTTAACTTACTTGCACTGGGTTAGAACATGCTCCTTTAGCTTGGAGAAGTTTGTTATTACCAGCTTCTAAAGCCTACTTCTGTCAATTCGTCAAACTTGTTCTCTGTCCAGTTTTGTTCCCTTGTTGGTGAGGAGTTGTGATCCTTTGGAGAAGAAGAGGTGTCCTGGTTTTTGGAATTTTCAGCCTTTTTGCACTGGTTTTTCCTCATCTTCATGGAATTATCTACCTTTGGTCTTTGATGTTGGTATCTTTCTGATAGGGTTTCTGTGTGTATGTCCTTTTTGTTGATGTTGATGATATTGCTTTCTGTTAGTTTTCCTTCTTACAGTTGGGCCCCTCTGCTGCAGGTCTGCTGTAGTTTCTTGGAGGTCTACTCCAGACCCTATCTGCCTGGGTATCACCAGCGGAGGCCACAGAACAGCAAAGATTGCTGTCTGTTCCTTCCTCTGGAAGCTTTGTCCCAGAGAAGCACCCACTAGATGCCAACCAGATCTCACCTGTATGAGGTGTCTATTGACCCCTGCTCAGAGGTGTCTCCCAGTCAGGAGGCATGGGAGTCAGGCACCCACTTGAGGAGGCAGTCTGTCCCTTTGCAGAGCTCAATCACTGTGCTAGGTGATCCACTGCTCTCTTCAGAGCCAGCCAGCAGGAATATTTAAATCTGCTGAAGCTGCGCCTACAGCTGCCCCTTCCCCCAGGTAATCTGTCTTAGGGAGATGGGAGTTTTATCAATAAGCCCCTGACTGGAGCTGCCTTTCTTTCAGAGATGCCCTGCCCAGAGAGGAGGGAATCTAGAAGGGCAGTCTGGCTACAGCAGCTTTAGGGATCTCCAGTGAGCTCCGCCCAGTTCGACCTTTCTGTTGGTTTTGTTTGCACTGTGAAGGGGAAACTGCCTACTCAAGCTTCAGTAATGGTAGATGCCCTTCCCCCACCAGGCTCGAGTGTCCCTGGTCGACTTCAGACTGCTGTGCTAGCAGCGAGAATTTCAAGCCGGTGGATCTTAGCTTGCTGGGCTCCATGGGGGTGGGATCCACTGAGCTAGACCACTTGGCTTCCTGGCTTCAGCCCCATTTTTAGGGGAGTGAATGGTTCTGTCTCACTGGCGTTCCAGTCACCACTGGGGCATGAAAGAAAAACTCCTGCAGCTAGCTCAGGAGTTTCTTAAACTTTTCAGATGACTCTTTTTTTTTGTTTTTGTTGATGCCTCTTTCTTCTTTCCACTACGTAATTTATGAGAATTCCCTAGGATTTTATGTGATTATCTTCTTGGTTTACAGTTCCTTGCCAGTGAAGTCATCCTCGTTTGTTACTTTATTTGTTGCCTTCGTATATGAGTCATGTTCAGATTTATATCTCAGAGTCTTCACCTCTTTTGCCAGCTTTAGTCCTATAAATCTAACAGACATTTTAAAAATAGCAAATTAATCATCTTCTGGTTAATATTTCTTTCCCAATTTCTTTGCTTTCGGCAGTGATATACCAACTAAAAATCTTAGAGTCTCTGCTCCTTCCTCCTTGTTCCCTAATAACGAGTAATCCAGTCCCTTTGATGACATTTAATGAATCTCTGTTAAAATTACTGGTTGTTGTTCTTGCACATATACCTTTAGTGCCTTAAATCATTTAAATTCGTTTTCTGGCTCTAATGTCTCCGTTGTCCAATTAATTTTGCCCACTGCTTTCAGGTTAATGTGGTTAAATATGGAAAAGGTTAAAGGTGACAGATTTTTGCAATTAGTTGCCTAGAAGAAGAATAATGTCATAAACAGGAATAAGAAAGATAAGAACAGAAGCTTTTAGAGGATAGGTGTTGTGGTTAAAAGAGTTTAAAGATTATCTGAACTCAGATCTGGCCAAGGGCCAAATGCCAAACTCAGTGAGCTCAGTCCAGTGTCAAATGGTAGGCTGGTGCTAGACCATCCTAGTGAAATTGTAAGGTATGCCACTGGAAATGAACTGAAACTTGGGAGAAAAGTCGTGACTAGGGAAGTAGCTGCATAATACCTTCTAAACATTTTTATGGGAAGTCAATAAAGTCTCTTAAAAGGATACAGCTTAACTTACTTGATTATTTTGATATGAAAATGCAGATAATATATTTATTACAAATACTGTTGAATTACTTAGTAAGCTTGTACTTTATGGGAAGAACAAAAATCCTTGTTATAAGCTAACCACTGTTATTGTATATTTCCTGAATGGAATGATGTCCTGTGAGAAATACTATACTTGTATATAGTATACCTAAACTATACTTGTACATAGCAATAAGCCAAACAGTAAGATGGATCTATCTATCATATGCTATTGCAGAAACTTTAAGATAGTTACAAATAAATAAATAATAAGTAATCTTTTTTTCTGGCTCTTGTCAGGAAAGATTTGAGATGTTTTTAATATCACAGTGACACTGTTATCTGGAGCTGATATTTCATCTCTGGAATAGAATTATTAATATAGGTCCTTTTGTGGTTGTGGAATATTTACTTAAAATCATTTCAGGCATTTTGAAAGTTTGTTGTAAGATTAGCAGGACTTCAGGAGTGTAATCTGTCTTTCTGTTTCATTTTTAGAGTGTTCAACCAGATTCTTCTTCTCCCAGACATGTAAGTCATTTTAATATGACTGTGCATTGTAGTTCCTTAAACTACAAAGCATTTGTGGTTTGTTTTTTTGTTTGTTTTGTGTTGTTTGGAATGCATCAGACTGAACTAAAATTTATGTTTTATTTTCCTCATTTACGTTTTGACATACCGCTAGAAATACGGGTGTTTTGTTTGCTTGAAATAAAATGATAATGTACTTGTGGACTCTAAATCTTGGTTGAAATTGAGCATAATAATTTATTTTTTGACAGCCTGTTTTAGGGAGTAGACATGGTTCTTATAAACTCATCATTATTTGTGTTTAATAAGTTTTGAATAATAGCTTATGAATAGGTATTGAAAATATAATTTTGAAGTAGGAAAACCTTTATATTATTTCACTTGAGTAACCATTAGGAGCAAGAATAAAGAAATAATATATTAGTTTGGTGTTAAGGCCATTGAATAAAAACTGTTACTCACTTTGTGACTTTAGATAAAAATATTATCTGCCTAGCAGTATTTATTGTGAAGTGTGATTCATTTTAGATCTAAATTGAGTGTTTAATAGAACAAAGGATATTCTGTTTCAAGTATTTCAACAATAGACTTCAAGAATAGTTTATGATTTTTTTTCTTGAATATAATTTTTTAAATCCATTCACTGGAATAATGAATAATGAGAATGGATGAGCAAAATAAAACAAGGAGGCAAGTGTGGGTTTTATTTTTTGACTGATTATGTTTATTATTTTGTGAGAATATTTTTGAAGTGTAATTATATATGGAAACATTGCTTTTTAACTTTTTATTTTGATGTTATTTCAAACTTAAAGTTGCAAGGGTAGTACAAAGAATTTCAAATACATTTCATCCAGATCCCCGTGTTAACATTTACCATATTTGCTTAATCCCTTTCTAGCATGTGATTTTTTTTCACGTTTCTCCCTTCTAGCTGACATGATGCCCCTTTACCTCTAAATGTCTCAGTGTATGTTTCTTAGAAACAAAGTATATCAATTCAATGCAATTAACAAAATGAGAACATTAACACTGATAAAATGCTGTCTTTTAATGTACAGATCTTATTCAGATTTTGCCCATTGTCTTCATTGGCAGTAGAAAGTCCCTGATTATGTTTGGTCTCTTAAATCTCCTTTAATCTGAAGCAATTCTTCAGCAGCTGTCTTTCATGATATTGAAATTTTTGATGGATAAAGTCCAGTTATTTTATAGACCATCCCTCAATTTGAGTTTGTCTGATATTTTTTCTTTAAAAAAATTTTTAAATTTTTTTATATTTTCACCCTGTCTTATGATGCTGATGATGTTTCTTTCTGATTTGATAAGGCCATGCTTTTTTTAAGTAGGAATACTACAAAAGTGCATAACATTAGGAAGCATGTATTGATTTATCCTGTCACTAGTGATGCTAATTTTGATCTTCTGGTTAAGGGTAGTGTCTCCAGGGTGTCTGAAATCTCTACAGTATTAACATTTTGGCTAGCTAATTCTTTGTTTGAGGGTGGGGGATGCTGTCCATTGCATTGTAGGATATTTAGCATTCTCTCTAGTGCTACCCACTAGATGCTGGTGGCACCACTTCCCCAATTGTGACAGCAGAAATGTGTGCAGATATTCCCATATGTGCACTGGGGAGCAAAACCCCCTCCCAACTCCTTAAGAACCACTACTTTACTGGAATGTTACTGTTTTTCTCTTGCAGATAATAAATACTTCAAATAAAAAAATAAATACCTCATAGGGAGATGCCTCGAGACTGTATATATGTCCTCCTACTCCATAAATTTCTATGTAGTAGTCACTTTAGTATCTATTGATGTTTCTTGCCTGATTCATTTATCATTTGATGGTTGCCAAGTGGTGATTTTTCTCATCCCATCATTTCTTCTACGTTTATTAGTTGACCTTTTATTAATACTATAAGGAAGAGCTTTCCCTTCTATTGGTGTGGATACATGGATTATTTTATTCAATGGACTATAATGTTACTAGTAGTATTTGTTTTGATGCTCAGATTGTCCCTGATTTAGCCTTTGGGAGTCCATCACACTGCTTTCTGTGTCCTTTTGACATATCTCTATCATTCTTTAAGTACTTTCTACCTTTTTGTCACAACAATATGTTCCAGGGTCATCTTATACTTTCCCTGTCATAGCCAGAAACCAGTCTTTTCTCTGTGGAGCCCCCCCCCCATCTTTTTTGGTAGGTAATGGTATTTATAAAGTAAGATCTGGTTGTTAGTAATATTTATTGCTAGAATCTCATTGCATCTAGGTCCTCTTAGTGGATAAAGCTAGGAAGTGTATATATACATAGGTATTACCTATTCCTTTATCTATTTATATACATATTAAAAATAATGAGACTTTGGGAGCCTAACGTGGGCAGATCACTTAAGTCCAGGAGTTTGAGACCAGCCTGGGCAACATGGTGAAACCCCATCTCTAAAAAAAGTAAACAGACATGGTGATATGTGCCTGTAGTCCCAGCTAGTTGGAAGGCTGAAGTGGCAAGATCACTTGAGCTCAGGATGCTGAGGCTGCCATGAGCTGTGATCACACCACTACATTTCAGTCTGGGCAACAGAGTGAGATCCTGTCTAAAAAAAAAAAAAAAAAATTCACACTGATACTTCTGTTTCAGTCCAGTATCTCAGAGTTCATTCTCTTATTCTGCCTTCTTTCTACATTTGTTAAACCCTTCTGTGACTGTCAGACATTAGGCTTCCATATGGAAAAATTTTGAACCCTTAGAATAAAGCCATCAATGATCTCAGTAGTTGTTTGTGACTTTTAAAATTAACTATAAACTGACTTTTAAAAATATCATTTTCAGGGTCATAATCGTATCATTGCCTACAGTAGACCAGTTTATTTCTGCTTATGTTGTGGTCTTATTTGGCTCTTGGATTATGGTAGCAGAAACCTGACTGCAACCAAGTTCAAATTATATGGAATAACTTTCACCAATCCACTGGTGTTTATATCAGCCAGGGATTTAGTTATAGGTAAGTCATCTTTAAAGTATCTCTAACCTTAAAATTAATATATTTGTATATCAACATTTACTGATAAATATATCAGTTATACAGCTGAAAATGTTTTTAATAAGCTTATTTTACTGTTTATTATAATCCTCTCTGAGCAACAAAAGTGATAGGACTATTATGAGTGAATAAAGCTAATGATGAACAACTATAATAATTCTTTTGTTTTTGGAGATGTAATGGAAAATTTTTTTTATTTGTTATTTAAGTTTCTATTATATGAAAATGATTGAAAAAACTTTAAAAAGTATTGTTAATGATTGAAAAGATGTTATTTACTACCCAAGCAATTATGTTGAGATGTATCATTTAAAATGCTATCTTTTAAAAATTGCTTAGTAGTGTATATTAATTTGGGTTTTTAAAAAATTAATTATGACCTCTCAGTGGACACAAGAATGGATACAGTACAATATTTTTAAATATACTTTTCTTTCTTTTTATAGTGTTTACACTCTGTTTCCCAATAGTGTTTTTCATTGGTCTCCTGCCTCAGGTGAATACATTTGTAATGTACCTTTGTGAGCAGTTGGATATTCATATCTTTGGTGGTAATGGTAAGTACTTCTCTATAAACATTATAGTATTACATTTACATTTATAGATCATGAAGTAATAAACTGACCATTGAAATGCTTTTCTGGTTTTTGCTTCAGGCTTGACATTAGGGGAAAAAAAGACATTAAATCATTTAAGACTGAGAAGTAATTGATGTGGATAGGAAAAAATAGTCAAGTCTGCTACTGTAGAGAAAGAGCCAGGTATAATGAAGCAGATGTGTAAGAAGTGACAAAATAATGTCTGCAACTTAAAGTTATAGTGAGTTTATATGGCACCTGTGTGAACTTAAGAGGTATTTATAAAAGATCATCTATCCTGAAGAGATTGAAGTTTGATACATAGCATTATATTTGGATTTTAAACCAGTATGTACATTTAGTAGGTGTTTGTATTTGGTTTCAGAGTTTTGTTTTATCCTTAGAATGCTAACACCAAAACCAGAATCTAAAAGCATTTTACTAATAAATAAGCTTTTAAAAACTATCTCTGTTCACTGAGTAGGCTATGTGGTTATGAACTGATATACTTAGAAAATCTATTTCCATATATCATATGTATATTTTATTTAAAAAATAAGACTATAGCTATATTACTCTGGAATAGATAATGGTTTGTAGAACCTGAAAATAATTATTTGGCACACACCATGGTTAAAATATACCATTATTTAGTTTAAACCATTGAAAATTTTACTGAAAGATGAGTGTGCAACTAGAGAAAATGAAAGGGAAAGAAATTATTATAACTTTATAGTTCATTCTCTACATATTTCACATTTTCAGGCCTCATTTATTTTCCAGTCATATGCATTGAAATCCTCTCTGGTGATAAAATGTCGATATGGCTTGAATTTTAAGTACAAACTGAGCTTTTTCTATGTTGCTGTGTATTATACTAGAGAATTTTTAATGTTTTGAAAATTTTTTGAAGGGATTAAATTAAGACAGAACTGGTTTCATCAATCAGCATAGCTTAATGGGTAGAAGACGATTCTAATATTTAGGGACCATTCTTGGTATTATATTACCCTAAATACTGCGGGGAGGGCTTAATGGGTATTATATTATATTCTTGGTATTATATTACCCTAAGTACTATGGGGAGGGTAATTTGTGATAATGGGCTTTTGTCATACTATAATTTACAATCTTGTGCAAGGTATTAGGTTTCTAATATCTCATAAGGAATTTTTATACAGATTTATTTCATGATTATTATTAAATTACTATTGAAGGAAACCTGTTACCCATGTTTTAAAACTAAAGTCTAAATATCTTAGCCATTCCCTATTCCTTATTACTCATATTTCCATTGAATCTATTTTGTTGTTGTTGTTATTGCTATCAATTAGATCTACACCTTTTTCTGAAAATTTATGCATAGGAATACAGATTTACTTCTATGGGTAACATAGGTTCTGTTTACATAGATAAATACCTTTCAGTGAACATACATCTCCAGTTCCTTTTCAGGCTCTGAAACCTTCATTTTTCCACATTTTTTGTTAATATAAGATCTATTCTTAAAGCATATTATAGGTATAATTTTTTCTTGCTACATATAAATGTTCATTCCTTCCAAGATGAATATATTTTATCTAGTAGCAAAGATTCAGGATAGCAAATCTTTGTCATGTCAGAATCTTTCTGAAAGAACAAAATGAAGTAACTGAATTTTTAAAATTCAAATTAGTAGATATTTAATGATTATTGACATTATAATATTTTAAATGCTTTTCTGTGACCTTTAAATTTTTTCCATATATTTTTATAACATATTTCTTTCCTTTTTCTTTTCCTGTCTAGCCACTACAAGCCTGCTTGCAGCACTTTACAGTTTTATCTGTAGCATTGTGGCAGTAGCCTTATTGTATGGATTATGTTATGGAGCTTTAAAGGTGAGCAATACATGTAGTATGTTTTGTCTTTAAGGCTGTATTTCTATATGAAGGTTGTTTTAAAATCAACTAATAATGATTTTTTCCCCTGTTGTCACTTAGCATTAATTTTCATGGTGTTCATATGTTAAACGTTATTCTCATTCTCAACTACTTTGAATTTGAAAGTAGTTTAATAGTTAGTTAACCGTGACTAAAAAAAAATTCTTTTTTCTGCAGTAGTCATAGGTTAATATTAGGAACAGATTATGGAAAACTAGGCTTATCTGCTCTAAGGGTAGGCATAATTACAGGATATGAAATTAATTTTAAAATTCTAGTTAAGAATTTAACTGCTTTTCATATCAGTTTTTTTAAACTTATAAAAACAAGCTCAAGGACTACAGTTTAAGATACATGCCAATAAAAAGTAATACACTGAAATTTAATGTCATTATTGGATTAGAAGATCTGGATGAGCCTTATGAACTTCTCTTTAAAAGACTGTCAACAAGTTATAATCATAAACATTTAAAAATTTTCATACTTAGTGATTCAATAGAGGTAGTAGTTAACTATCTTAGTTAAGGCTCACAGTTCAGGCTGTTTTAACAAAGTACCCATAGACGAAGTGGCTTATAAACAATAGAAATTTATTTCTCACAGTTCTGGGGCCTGGAAGTCTGAGATTGGGGTGCTGGATGGTCAGGTTCTGGTGAGGTCTCTCTTCCCAGTTGCAGACAGCTAACTTCTTTATATCCTTGGTGGCAGAAACAGGACTTGTCCTCTGGGGTTCCTTTTATATGGACTCTGATCCTAGTCATGAGGCCTCTACTTTCAGGACCTTCTGACCTCCCAAAGGTGCCACCTCCTAATACCATCACACTGTGGGTAGGGATTTCAACAAACAAATTAGTGGGGACACAGACAACAGGTAGTGTTTATGAATTGCTTTCAGTACATGATATTTCTAAATTTTTAATCTAAATGAACAGGTCATTTTGAGATAAGAATGCTCTTCTTTTGTCTGAGGGTGGTAAGTAGTGTCAAGTATTTGTCAAATAAATACAGGCATCTTTTATTTAGGTTTTTTCTTAAATACTCATTTTGTTTTATTTTAGTTGAGGCAAAATTTACATACAGTGAAATCCAGCTATCTGAAGTATACAATCTGATAAGTTTTGACAAATACATACACCTGTGTAATTTATAACCTTATCAAGATATAAGAGAGTTCCATTACCTCAGAAAGTTTCCTCATATTTCTTCCTCTCTCTCCTAATACTTTGTTGTTATTTCTTTCACTGTACACTAGGTTTGCAGTTCTTGAACTTCATATAAATGAAATCGTCCCATATGTATTCTTTTATATCTGACTTAATTGCTCAGTGTAATACTGTTGAGATTCATCCACATTGTGTGTATCAAGAGTTTGTTTCTTTTTATTGTAGATAAGTATTCGATTTAGTTTTAATTCCTTTTTACCCACATTGTATGCCTATATCACAGTTTACATATGTCTACAGTTTACTGTGATATAGGCATACAATGTAAGTAAGTAAACTGTACCATCTTAGAGATGCTCATTTGAGTTGTTTCTAGTTGAGGAATATTATGAATAAGCCTGCTAAGTCCTTTTGTGGACATGTGTATTCATTTCTCTTGGATAAATACCTAGAAATAGAATTAACAGTTTTCCAAAGTGGCTGTACTGGGCATATATATAGATTTTTTAGTTTTAATTTTTATTAAAGTTATACATTCTATATCACAGTGTCAAATAGTTCTACAGGACTTAGAGCAAGAACAGCAATCTCCTAACCCCTTTTACCTTTCTCAGACTTACTATTTTTAACTGATTCTTTTTGGCATTACCTCCATATGTCTACTTTTTATTTCTACTTCTTGTATTTTCTGACATCTTCAGGGGAACCCATGGACTGCCCTTTAGGAAAGTTGGAGGCTTGACTGACTCTCTCTCTCTCTCTCTCTCTCTCTTTTTTTTTTGGAGATTGTTTAGAATGCATGTGGTTCATTTATTCCTGAACGTATTCTAGTTTATATCCCTAGATTAGGTTAAACCATTGAGAGCTGCATTTGGACCAGGCTGTCTGGTCACCTCTAAGGTTTCCTTGCCCACGTTTCTCTTCAGATTATGCCTGCTCTTTGCATGGAGGCACCTTCCAAGAGTGTGTGTAAGAAAACAGTGGTCCCTTTATCACAGGGCTGTCATGTTGATGTCCTTCGGTGCTTTGTTTAGTGTCCCTCCTGTAAAGACTCAATCAAGAGGTTTCTTTTAAATCGTGATGACAGCCAGTTCTTATTTGTTTCCCTAAGAAATCTAGAATGCGTTTTTGTATTGTTTTGTTTTTTCCCCATATAACCAGTGTCAATTTTAAAATTTGCCTTGTCTGTTAAGTAGCTCAAAGCCAGATTCTCTGCTTATGTCTAGGAAGTTATGGCTTTTGTCTCTCATATTCCTTTGCTCATCATCATAAATGAGGTCCTGAGCAGGGTCATGGTTACAAGGATATTTTGCCTTATACTAATTCAAATTCATTAAGTTATCCATTTGTTTCTGAGATTTCTTTTTTTTACATTTTTGTTATATTTAACAACATGATTAAAGAATCGTAACAGTTCAGAAAAAGATGGTTAATTTAAACTTTCTGCAAACATCACTGAAAACTTCATTAAGTATGCAAGACTTTTTTCTTAGCCAGAAGCCCTTCCACCAAAACTCTAAGCACATCCAAAATCACTGCACGCAAGAGCCCTGGGTGTCTTTTGAGCAGCTGCACTGCACATGTACATATCTGTCAGTTAAAATGTACAAATGGAAAAGAGGCATTTCCTGACCAGTCAAGGGAAGCTTCCTGGAGGTGTCTGTTCCTGACTCTTTTACATTCTTATACCTCATATCCAACATCTCTTCACAAGGGGCAGCCCAGGCCAAGGGCTGGGACAGGGACAGGTGCAAGGCTGAGTGGGCAAATCATCCCTCAAAGCCCAGTGAAGTGCCCAGTGCACCACTAGCATAATGCACCTGAAAACAAGGTCCAGGAGCCCTGGCACAGGACCCTCCTTCTGGCCCTCCTATTCTGTCAGAACAAGCAAAGAGGACAGCAGCACAGGGGCCCCACAGGACAGCACACAAGAATGCTCCAACCTCTATACCCTCCTGGGGTAGAAAGGGACTATGGGAATCCTGCAGAGTAGAGTTAGGCAGCCCAGCGCTGCAGCTCAACAGCTCTGTGGGTGGGACATCTCTCACTGTAGGGTCTGCTCACATCTGTACATGAGTCCCGGAGCTAAGTGGCCTTTGGCCTTGAACTCTGAGTTTTCTCTCTCACATCAGTGACGTTTTTGGAAAACTTTTCAGCCTCTTCCAGCCAGTGCAGGGAGCTTCTGCATAACTTGTCAGTGAGGAGAGGGATGGTGGCATTGTCTGGCTTTAGGTAGATACACTGTTTCACACCTTCACAGCACGAGCAGATTTTCCAGCAGCCATCAGAGACAGAGCAAACAAGCACCAGAGGTGGAGCTCCCCAATGGCAAACTTCATAGCTCTTTCTAGGCACCATGGTTCGTTGTCTCACACCAAGAAATAATTCAAGACAGACACACAAGGAGTGGGTTTAGGAGTGGAAAGACAGAGAAGAAGAGAGAGAAAGCTTCCTCATGTTGAGAAAGCGGATCGCTCATGACAGGGTCTCCCAGAGGCTTGACTTAACTTTCTCTCACCCCAGCCTGACTACACATGTAGCCTCTCTTATCTCCCTTATATACCTGATGTGTTTACCTTATTATCACTGGGTAAATGCTCTTCCTCCATATCTTTTGTTTTCTCCTATACTTGGCTTTCTTATGTATTTATCTCCCTTTTATTCTCAAGCTCTTAAGATATTATTTAACTTTCTTTTCAGTACATTCAAACATAACAAGGGTTCACTTTCTGGCTCTACTGCTTAACTGGACAAATTACTTAAACCCTCTTCTGTGCCTTAGTTTTCTTATCTATAAATTGGGGGGTAATAATGCATATTTTCAAGGTTATTGTAAAAATTATTTGGGAAATACAAAGATCCAAGGATGTGGCTCTACACAGTGTTCACTATAAGATTTTGATGTAGCCATTAAAAAAATAAAATGTCTGTGTTATGATGTGAAACAATTTTCAAGTCTACTTTTAAGTGGGAAAAAAGGCAAGTCGTATTAAAAACTGTCATTTGGGTCCCCACTCCTACCATGTTTCCTTTCCAAATCTCCAGAGAACAATGAAGGATTAGAATAGTGTCCACCTCATAGGACATACTTAAAAACTGTTACCTGTTCCAGTTAGCGTATTGCCCACTCTCTGCCAGGTATCATGCTCATAGACTCCAGAGATGCTGCAATGAGCAGAGCTCACATTGGAGTGACCACATGTGTGGTGGCCTTGAAAGTTAGCCTTTGTAGTATTTCCTTCTAGGGTTGCACAGTCATCATTCAGAAAACAGTTACTGAATGCCTGCTCAGTGCTGTGGAGGACATATATATTATATGAGCAAAGGCATCAAGAAAGCAACACACCAAATGTCAGCCTTTTCTTTTGCCTAATGCATCATATATTGTCTTTTTCTGCTCTATTATTGTATATAAAATTTACTGTATCAAGGTATCTTATTCTTCAAAAAGGAACACAGTTTACTACAAACTTAACAGCACTTAAAATGTGAAAGAATTGATTGCCACATGCATCAAAAGCAAATTATTACTAGTGTATGAATAGAGCTCTCATGCCCCTTTGCCCAAAAAATCTGTAGCTTTAGTCCCAACGACATCTAGTGTCTAGATTCTAGCTCATCAGAAAATAATAAACCTAAATTTTTCTGGAACAAAATGCAATTAACGTGGCTAAAAATTTTGTTGAATTTAAGTTCATTGTCTTTTCCAAAATACTGACATAAAAGGATTATGTGCTATATTGTAAATTAGAAACTTATAATTCTGTTAAATTCATATTTCTGCAGGATTCTTGGGATGGCCAGCATATTCCAGTACTATTTTCCATTTTTTGTGGTTTGTTAGTGGCAGTGTCTTATCATCTCAGCCGACAAAGCAGTGATCCATCTGTACTTTTGTAAGTCAACTCAGTTGTTACTGAATTAAAGAAATTTAAGTAAGTTGGTGATTTTTTCAAATAACTTTCAAAATTTCTTTTCCCAATGCCTTTCCAAAGTGCTATTGGCCTAATCTATATTAAGTTTCAAAATATGTTAACTTTGGGTCATTCTAATCAGATTGGCTGAGAATGTTAGTGTTTTCCTTCCCAATTATTGAAACTATGTTTTAATAAAAATATTTTCACCGTATGCTTATTTATGGTCTCCTAAACATTTTAGAATTTCTCATTTAGTAATGATTAAATATACTCGAATCACTTGGTTTTCTATCATAAACTTTATTGTCTGTTTGAATTACTGGTTTTCAGATTATATGTGTTTTCATTTTTTCTCTCTTTTTTACCACAAAGCTCTTTAGTGCAATCCAGGATTTTTCCAAAAATGGAAGAGAAAAATCCAGAAGACCCTCTCGCTGAAGTAAAAGATCCACTTCCTGAAAAACTTAGAAATTCTGTTGTAAGTTTTAACATTTAGAATCACCTAAAAGACTTAAATCTTAGACAGTTGATTATGTTATATCATGACACTTTTTGAAAGTCTTTAGTAATTGGAGAAAAATGTATAGTTATAGTTATAGGATTAGTTGCACATTGTTGATTGTCTTTATTCCAGATATTAACATGTAAGAAATGCTCATTCCTCAGATTTGGTTTCTGTAGAACAGAGCACTAACCATTTATTTTTAGGTCAGTTGAAATTAAGTAATTTCATTGGTCATAGAACTTTTATTCCTATTCAATTTAGACTAGGATCTGAAACATTAGTATTAACATAAATTCAGTTCATTTTGTTGTTATTGTTCATCTTGTTGAAAAAAAAACTATGTCTTAGTAAGTCATTCATTAGACTTTAGGTTGTTTTATTTCTCAAGGGCAGTCTGAAAACTGTGTGTATTTCAGGCTGAAGGAGAGAACAATAACCTTTATTAATTTAATATACTTAAGTAAATGCAGTAATTTTAAAAATTTCTAATTTAGTGAATTATAATGTTGCTTATATTCTTTCAGTAATTATTTGAAAAATGAATTCTGTAAATTCATGTCTGTTTATGGAGTAAAACAAAATCTTTTTCTCAGATTTAGGTAATTTTTCTTTGCAAAAGACTGAATTTATATAGATGTTGAATTAGACACATTTACTTTTAGTGAGCTTGACCTGTTCACATATTCTTTCAGAAACTTTAGAAATATAAAACTCTCAAGATATTAGAATAACCTTTTTCTAACTTTAGTTTCCATATTGGCAGAGGATATTTCATGTTAAGTATATTAGGATATTCTGAATATGCTCATAAGCATAAGTCTAAGAGGTGAGTTGATGACCATAGATATCAAGAAGTTTCTGGTTTTTCTATAACCACTGATAGAACCAAAATGTAGTAAGTAAAATGGGACTTAAGCACATGGTTTTCGCATGTCGAAAGACCAATGAACATATAAGTTATCCAAAGGGATATACCCCTATAAATGGCACTATGGTCAGGAGTGGTGGCACATGCCTTTAGTCCCAGGTACTTGGGCGACTAAAGCTGGAGGATCCCTTGAGCCCAGGGTTCTGAGCTGTAGTGTGAAATGACTGTACCTGTGAATAGACAGTGTACTCCAGCCTGGGCAACATAGTGAGACCCTGTCTCAAAAACAAACAAACAAAAAATTATAGTAACTTAATGTACCTTATTTTGTTTCCCCATATGTAAAAGTAAAACTTACAGGCCAGGCGCAGTGGCTCATACCTGTAATCCCAGCACTTTGGGAGGCCAAGGTGGGTAGATCACGAGGTCAGGGGATCAATACCATCCTGGCCAGCATGATGAAACCCTGTCTCTACTAAAAATACAAAAAAATTAGCTGGGCATGGTGATACATGTCTATAATCCCAGCTGCTCAGGAGGCTGAAGCAGGGAAATCGCTTGAACCTAGGAGACAGAGATTGCAATGAGCCGAGATTGTGCCACTGCACTACAGCCTGGGTGATGGAGCAAAAAAAAAAAAAAAAAGAAACATACAGACCAATGGGGAATAAACTCTTCATTCTAAAAGACTGTATTGTAATATGTTATATGGCATGCGGAACTATATAAGTTATTCAATTTCCTTGGCATTGCAGTGTCAAAATCAAAATATGAGGAAATTGAGGAAGAAAATAAGATTTACTGTGGTTAATTATTATGTATAGAAAATATGTAGAAGTGTGGCCAGGTGTGGTGGCTCATGCCTGCAATCCCAGCACTTTGGGAGGCCAAGGTGGGCGTATCACTTGAGATCAGGAGTTCAAGATCAGCCTGGCCAACATAGTGAAACCCTGTCTCTACTAAAAATACAAAAAATTAGCTGGGTGTGGTGGGGTGTGGTGGCACATGCCTTTAGTCCCAGCTTCTTGGGAGGCTGAAGCAGGAGAATTGTTTGAACCCAGGAGGTGGAGAGTGCAATGAGCCGAGATCGTGCTGCTGCACTCCAGCCTGGGCAACAGAGTAAAAACTCCAGAGAGAGAGAAAAAAGAGGTGCAGGGGCGGGGGAGAATGAGATCTAGAAGTGTTAGAGTATAAATGAAAAATTATTGTTTTTTTTTTCTTTAATACCAACCAAGCTAGCCAGGCAAAAAGTTATTTCTTAAACTTTGCCAATTGGGAATAAAGGAAAAAGACTTTTTAAATTCTTATGTAATTGTTTAATAATCCTTTTTTACCCCTACAGAGTGAACGATTACAGTCTGACCTAGTAGTATGCATTGTAATTGGTGTGCTGTATTTTGCTATTCATGTAAGCACCGTCTTCACAGTATTGCAGGTAAGGAATCATTTTCTTCTTTTATTTATTTGTTTGTTTGAGATAGAGTCTCACTGTGTCACCCAGGCTGGAATGCAGTGTTATGATCACAGTTCATTGTAACCTTGAAACCCTGGGATCAAGCGATCTTCCCAGCCAGCCTCCTAAGTAACTAGGACTACAGATGTGCACCACCACACCAGGCTAATTTAAAGAATTTTGTTTGTTTGTTTGTTTTTAGTAGAAACTGAGTCTTCTTGTGTTGTCCAGGCTGGTCTCAAACACCTGGGCTCAAGCAATTCTCCTGCCCCAGTCTCCCAAAGTGCTGGAATTATAGACATGAGCTACTGCACCCAGCCCGTGTATGTTTAGATACACAAATACTTGCCATTGTGTTACAGTTGCCTACAGTATTCAGTACAGTAACATGCTATACATTTTTGTAGTTTAGGAGCGGTAGACTCTACCACATAGTCTCAGTGTGTAGTAGGCTATACTGTCTTATCTATGTGAGTACACTCTGATGTTTGTACAGTGATGACATTGCCTAACAACACATTTCTCATAATACATGCTGTTGTTAAGCAGCACATGACTATAACTTTGTTTGGACTAATTTCTGATTTGATGTTCATGTTTGTCCATAGTACTGAAATACATGACTTTTTATGTGTTTTTTATCAACAAATACTTATTTTCTCATGATTTCTCCATGTTATGAATCTGGGAGTGGCTTTACTGGATGATTCTAGCTCAAGATCTTTCATCGTGCTACAGTCATCTGAGTTCACTGTTTACAGGCCTCAGTTTCTTCTGACTATTGGCCGGAGACCTCAGTTCCCCTCCATGTGGTCCTCACCATAGGCTGCATGACAATACTCACAAATGGCAACTAGTTTCCCCCAGAGCAAGTGATCCTTGAGATACAAAGCCTAAGATAGGAGCTGTACTCTTTTACAACCTGATATTGGAAATGATATGCCACCAGTTTTTTCATATTCTGTTGTGTACGTAGACCAACCCTGGTACATGTGGGAAGAGAATATACTGAAGTATAAAAGCAAGAGGCAAGGATCATGGGAACCATTTCAGAAGCTGGACTACCACTGTCCATTAGTAGACCTCCATGATCGACATCCCTTCTGTATGCAAAGTGTACATACCCTCTCCTGAAACCCTCGAAAGTCTCATTCCAGTAAAGTTGAAAGTCTAGAACATTATTATCTAAATCAGGTTCAGGTATGGGTAAGGCTTCTTGGGTGTTGTTCCTTAAGTACAGCTCATCAAGGCTATTCCTTTCATCTGTAGGGCATGTAATTATCATTTTAGTCCCCTGCATTCTTTTGTGCTTATCCATGTTTCCATTTGGTATCATTTTCCTCCTACTTGAAAGATTTCCTAGGACATTTCTTTTTTATTTAGGGGCAAAGTCTCACTGTGTTGCCCAGGCTGGTCTCAAACCCCTGAGCTGCAGTGATCCTCCTGCCCTGGTCAACCCACAGGTTCACACCTATGCTAGGATGACAGGTGTGAACCACCACACCTGGCTGTCCTAGGACATTTCTTGTGGTGAAAATCTGCACGTTTTCTTGGCTTTTCTAGCTCTGAATAAGTCCTTATTTCACCATTGGTATTGAAAGATACTTCCTTGGGTATAAAATTCTAAGATGACCGTTTTTTTTTCTCTTTTAGTGCATGAAGATATTGCTCCACTGTCTTCTCCCTTTTATTGCTTCTGACTGAATTTATTCCTATGTAGATAACTTATCTGTTTTCTTAAACTGTCTTTTTATCACTAGTTTTTACAAATTTGATTGTGATGTACCTTCACATGGTTCATGTTTCTGTGCTTGGGGTTTATTGAATCTGTGGTTTATAGTTTTCATTAAATTTGGAGAATCTCCGGCATTATTCCTCTAGACATTCTTCGTTTTTTTTCATAATGGGTGTATATCTTTATGGGGTACATGAGATACTTTGATACAGGCATGCAATGTGTAATAATCACATGGTAAATCGGGTATTCATCTCCTCAAGCGTTTGTCCTTTGTGTTATGATGCAGTTATACTCTTAGTTATCTTTAAATGTACAATTAAATAATTACTGACTATAGTTACCCTGTTGTGGTATCAAATACTAGGTCTTATGCATTCTTTCTACTACTTTTTGTACCCATTAACCATCGCTACCTCCCCTCACCACCCCTCCTACCCTTCCCAGTCTCTGATAATAATCCTTCCACTCTCTATTTCTGTGAGTTCAATTGTTTTAATTTTTAGCTCCCACAAATAAATGAGAACATGTGAAGTTTCTCTTTCTGTACGAGGCTTATTTCACTTAACACAGTGACCTATAGTTCCATCCATGGTATAGCAAATGACAGAATCTCATTCTTTTTTTGGCTGAATAGTACTCCATTGTATATGTGTACCACATTTTCTTTATTCATTCATCTGTTGATGGACACTTAGGTTGCCTCCAAGTCACCTCCAAGTCTTGGCTAATATGAACAGTGCTGCAACAAACATTGAATGCAGATATCCCTTCAATAAATTGACTTCCTTTATTTTGAGTATATATGTAGCATTGGGATTGCTGGATAATATGGTAACTCTATTTTCAGTTTTCTCAGGAACTTCTAAACTGTCCTCCATAGTGGTTGTACTAACTTACATTCCCACCAACAGTGGAAGAATTCAGCAGTGAAGCCATCTGATCCTGGGCTTTTTTTTACTGGGCGACTTTTTATTATGGCTTCAGTCTTGTTACATGGTATGATCTGTTCAGCTTTTGGATCTCTTCATTGTTCAATCTTGCTAGGTTGTATGTGTCTAGGAATTAATCCATTTCCTCTAGATTTTCCAATTTATTGGCATATAGTTGCTCATAGTAGCCACTAATGATACTCTGAATTTTTGCAGTATTAGTTGTAATATATCCTTTTTCATCTCTCATTTTATTTATTTGGGTCTTCTCTCCTTCATTTTCTGGTCAAAGATATGTCAATATTATTTATCTTTTTTTAAAAAAAACCCACTTTTCAGTTCTTTGATCTTTTGTATTGTTTCTTCATTTCAATTTCATTTATTTCTGCTCTTATCTTTCTTAGGTCCTAGTTCCTTGAGGTACATCATGACGTTGTTTGTACTCTTTTTTTTGATGGAGGCATTTATTACTATAAATTTCCCTTTAGCACTGCTTTTGCTGTATTCAATAGGTTTTAGTACATTGTATTTTCATTTGTTTTAGAGATTTTAAAATTTTATTTTCAGTTTCTTCATTGACCCAGTGTTCATTCAGGAGCACATTGTTTAATGTCCATTTAATTGTACAGTTTCCAAAGTTCCTCTTATTTATTTTTAGTTTTATTTCTTCATGGTCTAAGAAGATACTTCATATGATTTCAATTTTTAAAAATTTGTTGAGACTTGTTTTGTGGCATAACATGTAGTCTGTCCTGGAGAATGTCCCGTGTGTTGATGAGAAGAATGTGTATTCTGCAGCTGTTAGATGAGATGAATGTTCTGTAAATGTCTGCTATGTTCATTTGTTCTATAGTGCAGACTAAGTCTGATATTTCTTTGTTGATTTTCTTTCTAGGTGATATGTCCAATATTGAAATTGGGTTGTTGATGTTCCCAAGTATTATTATATTGGGGTCTGTCTCATTAGCTTTATAATAATATTTGCCATATGTATCTGCATGCTCTGGTGTAGGGTGCATATATTTACAGTTGTTATACCCTTTTCTGTGGACTGATCCCTTTATTATATGATGACCTTCGTTGTCTCTTTTCATGTCTTTTGACTTATAGTTTATTTTGTCTGATAAAAGTATAGCTCTGCCACCATGCTTTTGGTTTATATTTGCCTGGAATATATTTTTAAATTTCTTCTCTTTCAATCTTTGTGTGTGTTTATAGGTGAAGTTAGTTTCCTGTAGGCAGCATATAGTTGGCTCTTTAAAAAAAAAAAATTCAAGCAGACTATATTTTTACTTATATTTATGTTGGCATCAGGATATACATCTGGACGTTCTACATCTTTTAACTGGGGAATTTAAGTCATTTACATTCAAGGTTTTTTGCGAGATGAAGGCATACTCCCATCATTTTATTCATTGTTTGCTGAATGTTCTCTATATCCTTTGTTTTTTTTTTTTTTTGCTTTTATTGTTTACCCTTCAATTTGATTGCTTTTTTTGTAGTAATAATTTTTGACTTTAAAAAAAAATTATTTATCTTCTTTACCAATGATTTTTATCCTCTCATGTGTTTCATGATGGTAGATATCATCCTTCTGCTACTTATTATAGGACTCAATAATTTCTTGTAGAGCCAGTCTACTCATAATGAATTCTTAGTCTTTGCTTTTTTGGTGAAGATATTATTTCTCCTTCATTTTTGAAGGATAAAGCTTTTCTGGGTATACTGTTTTTAGCTGAAGAGTGTTTTTCTTTCAGTTCTTTGAATATATCACCCCATTGTCTTCTGGCTTGTGAGGCTTCTACTGAGAAATTAGATGTTAGTCTGATGGGGATTTCCTTGTATATAACTTAACTCTTTCCTCTTGCTGTTTTCAGAATTCTCTTTTTGTCTTTGACTTTTGACAGTTTGACTAAAATGTGCCTTGGAAAATACCTTATTGAGTGAATTGTATTTGGGAACCCTGTGCTTCCCATATCTAGATGTCTGTATTTCCTCTAAGACTTGGGAAATTTTCATCTATTATTTTCTTAAATAGGCTTCTGGAAACTCCAAAATTCATGTGTTTGGTCATTTTTACAGTGTCACATATATCATATGAGGTTTCTTAATTCTTTTTTTTCTTTCTTTCTTTTTCTTGGTCTGAGGGTTTTTTTTTAACCCATCTTAAAGTTCAGAAATTCTTTCTTCTGCTAGATCTAATCTGTTGTTGAACCTCTTGCTTAAATTTTTTATTTTATGTGTGGAATTCTTCAGTTCCAGAATTTCTGTTTGGTTCCTTTTTATGATATATCTCTTTGTTGAGTTTTTCATTTAGATCATGAGTTGATATTCTGATTTCTTGGTATTATTCCTATGTGTTCTCTTGTATCTCACTGAGTTTCCTTCATATCATTATTTTGAATTCTTTTTCAGACATTTCATAGATTTCCTTTTCTTTGGTATCTGTTACTGGAAAATTATTATGTTCCTTTGGAGATACTGTATTTTCTTGCATTTTTATGTTTCTTATATCCTTACATTGACATCTGCACATCTGATACAACAGTGTTTTCAAATTGTATGGATTGGCGTTTGGAGAGAAAGACTGTTTCCTGTAGCTGTATCTATGCTGTTGGTTGGACAGGATACTTCGGCTTTGATTCTGGGTGTATATGGTAGTGTACTCTCCATATGATTTCTTTGGCTATAATTGGTGTCAGTGATGTCTACAAATTCCTCAGTGGCTTAGACTGCATATGTTAATAGCGGCTGTGATGAGGCATTGCTAGGGATACAGAGCTAGGCAGGCTAGTCCTCAGGCACCATTAGTGACTGCAGTAGGTTGGGTTTGCTAGTCCTATGGGTTGGCATACATGGGTGCTTGTGGTGTGGTTGTCAAGTCTTTAGTCGGCATACTTGACTGTTGGTTGTAGCAGGGAACAGAAGTTTTAAGATGCATACATCTTTCTAACAAATGGCTTTTCTGCAGTATGAACCAGGATATGGCACCTCAGATGATGATCCCTGTTAAAGGCCTTGCCACAGCCTTCATAGTCATAAATGGTCTCCGTCCTGTGCTCTTGCACAGGTATGCATCAAGCTTTTAGGCCTTGTTGTAATTGGTGATGCAGTCTAGGAAGGAACAGATGACCCTCCTGTGAAGCATGAGGGGTAGCAGTGGAAAGCCTGGGCTCTTGCTGGCTGTGATGAACAGGTCAGTGATGGTTATAGATGAGAACACCACAGTGAACAAGGCCAGTGTTTACAAGACACCTGGACCTCCATGCCGTGGGACAGGCACACAGCCATGCACTAAGCCATGTACTATGAATTAGTGCATGCAGCCAACTGCTCCAGGTGGACCCTGCCTTACCCCATTATCTCTGTTACTGAAAACAATTTAATACATTGCTCTAAACATCTCATAGAACATTCATGTAATAGGCAATACACCATAGGCCACTCTCTCATACAGTAGTGTAAGACACCAGAGAAAGTAGTTAACACATTTCAAAATATCTATGATAAATGAATAGTCACTAACTTTCAAGACTGATTACAGCAAACTACATAATTTAGAAATGTTAACTATAGAAAATACTTTGTTCTTAGATTCTTAAAATGGATGTTGTCCATTATCAAATGGAAAATTGAATTGACAAATTAGAATTTCTGCAGTGAGTCTCAAAATCACTCCTAATTTTATCACTTTTATTGTTTTTTTTTTTTTTTTTTTTAGCCTGCTCTCAAGTATGTGTTGTATACATTGGTTGGCTTTGTGGGTTTTGTAACACATTATGTGCTGCCTCAAGTTAGAAAACAGCTACCATGGCACTGTTTCTCTCATCCTCTGCTAAAGACAGTAGAGTATAATCAATATGAAGTTCGAAGTAAGTATTTCAATAGCACTTTTCCCTTTACTATATTGATAGATGACTGAGTTAAATGAATATCATCAAGGAATATTTTGGCTTGTGTTTCTTTTGCTTAAGTTTGAAGCTGCTAATGAATCTAATATCTTTCAGGATGCTTTATTTTAGCTGAAATATGAGTGTGAGTGCTACAGTGCCAAATTTCCACAGAAGAAACTTACTTCTCCCCTCTCTATATTATTCTTCACAGACTTTTCATTGATGAACCCTCCTGTGTATGTCCATTACTTCTCTTTCCTGACCCTACTGTTCCCCCTAATTAGTTTTCAATGCCATATACAGGCAATCCAATCTTCTTTAAGGTCTCTCTATTTGAAATAGTTTTAACTTAATGCCCAGGGAGGAAGAAAGATACTTGTTCCTTTTTCTGCCAGAGACACTGTGTCCTACCAGAGAGGAGTGTAAAAGAAATTAAAAACATTTTTAATTGCTGTTATTAGTTCAGATTTGCAATTAAGTATTAAATGATGAAAAAGAGATAGAAGGCTAGTTCACTTGCTAAGCTTCTTCCTTGCCACTGTAAACCCTGACATTTCTTTCCTGTTGTAAGTATTCAATTCTTGTTCATTGACCCTGTTATCTGTAATATATTGTACTTCCTCACTTTAGAGAAATAATAAATGTTAAAGCTATGTCATAATTACTAGTGATTAAATCAGCCAACTTTTTTCTCACAGTATTTTTTCAGTTAGCAAATTATTATAGAGTAAATCATTCAGCTGCTTGAATATAACTTTTTTAAAGAACCCTGAAGCCTTTGAAAGCTTCCTAATAAAGAAAAATGACATGAAACTGCATAAGAATCTTCTTTTTTTTGAGACAGAGTTTTGCTCTTGTTATCCAGGCTGGAGTGCAATGGCACAATTTCAGCTCACCGCAACCTCTGCCTCCTGGATTCAAGTCATTCTCCTGCCTCAGTCTCCCAAGTAGCTGGGATTACAGGCATGTGCCACCACACCCAGCTAATTTTGTATTTTTAGTAGAGACGGGGTTTCTCCATGTTGGTCAGGCTGGCCTTGTACTCCTGACATCAGGTGATCTGCCTGCCTTGGCCTCCCAAAGTGCTGGGATTACAGGCGTAATCTGAAACTGCTTAAGAATCTTTATTGGCTCATTTATACTCAGAAAAATAATTCAGAATGAGATGTGTTTTTAATGGCGAACTATTACTGCTTTCATATATAAATGATGCCACATCTAGTTTGTTTTAAAGACCACCACTTTTCATTAAAATAAATTATTGATCTTTAAAAAATTTTTTAAATCTTAGAACATTTAATTTAAATACAAATTTTGAATCTGTATAACATTTGACTAATTTATAGTACTAACAGCAAAGTTGTTGTTTTTTCTGTACTGATTTTAGCAACTCAAAGAAAAAATACTATTTCTTAGAGAACTTCCTAAAGCCAGATGATACTGTTTTCAGATAGCCAAAGAACCATGTTTTAAATCTTTTAGTTTATTCTAGACACTTTCTCCAATGAAATAATTTATAGCATTGGAAAAAAATATTATTGCCAATGAAAATGACTCTTATGAAGTATGTGAATTCAAATCATATCATATTTTTATTTATTTTGGGTAAAAGAACCAATGTAATAATCTTCTGTAATCTTTTTCCATAAGTTGTAAGCATAAATGAGAAAAGTTATGGTTAAAATATGAGGTTTCAAGAATTAAAGTTTAAAATGAAACTTATCTAAATGTTAAATCATGTCTAAGTTACAAATTTGTATCTCAGAGCTCATAGAAGTTGACAGTTGATTAAAGTACTGGCTTTTTAAAAACATTTTATATGTAGTTTGGTACTAAATTTGAGTTGTAAAATTTTCTTTCTCATCACATTGACAAACTATATGTTAGATAACATACAGTTTTCTTGATTTATTTTGCCTTGTTAGATGCAGCCACTATGATGTGGTTTGAGAAACTTCATGTGTGGCTTCTTTTTGTGGAGAAGAATATAATCTATCCATTGATTGTTCTCAATGAACTTAGCAGCAGTGCAGAGGCAATTGCTAGTCCAAAGAAACTAGATACAGAGTAAGTATAGTAGTCTTCTAATCTTGTCTGACTTTTAGGGGCTGTTATAAACAATGTCTTAAGTTGTTGGTAAAATGTTGAATAATAATTGAGTGTTTGCTTCATGCAAGGCACTGTGAGATTAAAAGTTTAGGTGACATTTTGTCCTTGACTTCCCTTTTTTTAACATCTGTTTCTGCTGCTGTCATATTCTCTACTCCAGACATCTCGTCGATTAATATTTTGTGGGAGGACATTTTCAAAATAAGGTTAATTTTTAATATTAGATGGCTATTTTCATGAGCGATGTAACTTACACCATTTAGATGGTCAGCCATGGTGGTCTGATAGGCCTGCCCCACAGGAGAGGTACCTATTATTGAGTAAGCAATAATATGTTTCTCATTTGCTAAATGCAGTTGATGTTAAAGCAATAGAAATATTGAGAAACTAGAGAACCAGATATGAGAATTACAATATGATTTTTTTAAAACATGGTCGTTCATATAAAGGATAAGAATCATAATGAATAGTAATAAAAGGAAGTCTATACTTTCCGGATGTGATTTACCTAGCTATAGACATCATTTTTTGGAAGCTTCCATTTAATGTATACATTGTAAGCTTAGTAAAGTAAATGGTGAATTTTATTTTAAGTTACTGTCTCTTCTAATGTTTTCAGTCATGAGTTGATTTGTGTTTTTTTTGTGTCACAGATTAGGTGCTTTAATGATCACCGTTGCTGGTTTGAAGTTGCTACGATCCTCTTTTAGCAGCCCTACATATCAGTATGTCACAGTCATCTTTACCGTGCTCTTTTTCAAATTTGACTATGAAGCTTTTTCAGAGACTATGCTGTTGGATCTCTTCTTTATGTCCATACTCTTCAACAAGGTAATTTATCACGGAAAGGAATATCCTTATAAAAACTGTCTCCCTAAGTTATGTGGTATTTAGTCAGGGTTTTTCTTATATTTAATTTGATTTATTATTGTTTAAGTAAGTAGTATCTCTCTTCAACTGGTTATTCAGAAGCACATTAGAATCCCTAAACAAAGATAGTCACTGTGATTTATAAAAGATATATTTCTTTCTATAGCTAGGACAATAAGATTAAGTTGTATAAAACAATTAGAGAAACATTAATAAGTATGTGTTTTGGCTGGGCATGGTGGCTCACGCCTGTAATCCCAGCAATTTGGGAGGCTGAGGCAGGTAGATCACGAGGTCAAGAGATCAAGACCATCCTGGCCAACATAGTGAAACCCCCATCTCTACCAAAATACAAAAATTAGCTGGGCATGGTGGCATGCACCTGTAGTCTCAGCTACTTGGGAGGCTGAGGCAGGAGAATTGCTTGAAGCTGGGAAGTGGAGGTTGCAGTGAGCCGAGATTGCGCCACTGCACTCCAGCCTGGGGCCTGGCGAAAGAGTGAGACTCTGTCTCAAAAAAAAAAAAAAAAAAAAAAAGTATGTATTTTTAAATATATAGAATCTCTCAAAAGGTATATAGTTTTGAATATTAGAAACCAGAAGTGATAATAATTGAATTGGGCTCTGGCATGGCCCAGTGAAGGGGGTAGATGCTGAGGAGACTGAGGCCTGGTGGGAGCAGTCAGAAATTAGCTTGATGTGACATTTGCAGAATACTCTGAACTTTGAGGCTGCTGCTAAAATTCATTATCTACCCATAAGATATATGTTCTTAGGCCTTTTATGAATTCGATGGTAAAAGCTTGGTCTTCTGCCTCCTCCAAGGATCTTTTTGCTAAATCACTCTACCTTTCGCAGTGAAATAGGCTGTACGGTCAGATTGTCAGTGAAATTTCAGATTGTCATGAAATTAAATTTCATGGTAACACTGACTACATATAAGGGACTTTGACACATATTATCCCATTTGATAGGTAACAGAGACCTGAAGCAAATGAACAGCTACAAAATATAATGAAATTCCAATATTAGGAAAGTTAGCCTGGTGAGCCACATTTGGCTTCAGTTGGGGAAGAGAGAACCTAAAGGTATGGAGAACAGTTCAAGAGATCATGACAGTAATTCAGATGTGATAGTAGTCTGACCTAGGATGGGAACAGAAAAAATGGAAAGCCATTAATCTGAACAAAATTTCATTGATAGTTTCAATATTGTGATAAATAGCTTCTAAAATATTTCAGTATTTGTTCAGTCATTAATTGGCATTTTTATCATTTATTTCCTCTTCTAGTGAGTATGGTTGTTAAACACCAAAGGAGGAAGCCAGAAAGTTAATCAGAGAATTGTGTAAAGAAGCATGTGGTTTCTCACAAGCTCAAATATTTAGATTGAGAATTGTATTTCATCTTATACTGGTTGGAAAAAAGTGAAAGTTGCAGTAAAATATAAAGTAACTAATCTTTGAAATACAGTTGCTACACTTAACTCTCCATTAATTTGGATTTTCTTAATATTTTCATTTGTTAATTTTTTTAAAACAAAAAACTGTTTTAGGACTGTTCTAGATGCTTAGGCTACACCAATGAACAAAACAGAGAAAGCTTTCCCCTTAGGTTTTTATTTAAATTGTCAGTAGGTAGAATTTAACAGTGATAGTAATATTCAAGGGATTTCTTCAGATAAATTTTTTGTGTTAAGATATCATTGCAAGCTATATCATGGATTTAATAACCTTTCAAGAAAATAAGTGTATACACAAATTCCTTTTCCTACCAATCCTTACCCATGTAATTACCGATTGTTTTTTCTTTAATATTACAGTCAAAATTGGAATACAGTTTGTTTCACACTTAGAATCTGAAGAGGTTTCTGAGTCACTGCTTTTAAGTCATTGTAATGGCATCACGATGATATACATGCTGCTTTTACTTACCGTGATCCTGATTACGTTAATGTCGAGGATTGCTAGTATAATTTTGAGTCATGGCAAAAATACTGCAGTTTATATATATTTTTTAATTGGTTGAATTTGTGATTTCTTTTTTAAATTGGAAGTTAAGGGGGTTCATTTATAAATCAGTTAAAGTATTTCAAAAGATGAAGTGATTGTTGCCTAATCATGCAGAGGCAATCTTGAACAAGTACAACAACTCTGTTTCAGCATTGAAGAAGTATTCAACTGTAACATGTCCAACCTTAAATAAAATTAAAATGTGTATCCTGTTTCTACTGACAACCATTAAGGTTATGAACAGATGCCTAGTATACACAACTAAGTTTCTATGGAAACAGGCAGTGACAACTATATTACAACTGCTGTTTTCACATTCCTTCTGACGTAACATTTAAAACATACTCAGTTTCCAAACTAAAATTTGGGAAAAATATGTCTTAGAATAAAATAAATATATGTATTTCTTAAGCTTTACAGACATCTTGATTTTTTTTTTTTTTTTGAGATGGAGTTTCGCTCTTGTTACCCAGGCTGGAGTGCAATGGTGCGATCTCAGCTCGCCACAACCTCCGCCTCCTGGGCCCAGGCAATTCTCCTGCCTCAGCCTCCCGAGTAGCTGGGATTACAGGCACGCACCACCATGCCCAGCTAATTTTTTGTATTTTTAGTAGAGACGGGGTTTCACCATGTTGACCAAGATGGTCTCGATCTCTTGACCTCGTGATCCACCCGCCTCGGCCTCCCAAAGTGCTGGGATTACAGGCTTGAGCCACCGTGCCTGGCCCGATTTTTTTTTTTTTCAGGAACAATTATTTGGCTGCTTTCTACCTTACTTAGTTTTGCTTGTAGTAGCAGTAATATGGCCAGTAGAGGGCATAGAATATTTTAAACAGATGAAACACAAATCCATATATAGCTACCTATTTCTGCTTAGAAAGTGTCTTTATTCAGAAATAAGTGCAATGTTTAGGCAGTCGATAATATCTTTTCATGTTATGCAAATGGCAAATAATTTCAGTGCCATTTCCCTATTAGGAAGAAAATATATTTTACAGGTTTTTCATTTTCTAATTCAAGTATCTGATGATTTTTTTTTTTTTTTTTTTTTTTAACTGACAGCTATTCTTTTCCTCCTGCAGCTTTGGGAACTCCTTTATAAATTGCAGTTCGTGTATACCTATATTGCCCCATGGCAGATCACATGGGGTTCTGCTTTCCATGCTTTTGCTCAGCCTTTTGCAGTGCCCCGTATCCTTCTAATTAAAGTTTAATAAGAATGGATAGTCATATCCTTGATAAGAATGTTGGTTTATAGGCTTAACCTTTCACAGGCATAGATAAGAGTTTACTGTGTAATAAATCATCAAAAATTCATAATCTTGGCCAGGTGCGGTGGCTCACACCTGTAATCCCAGCACTTTGGGAGGCCGAGGTGGGTGGATCACCTGAGGTTGGGGAGACGAGCCTGACCAACATGGAGAAACCCGGTGTCTACTAAAAATACAAAATTAGCCGGGCATGGTGGCACATGCCTGTAATCCCAGCTACATGGGAGGCTGAGGCAGGAGAATTGCTTGAACCCATGAGGTGGAGGTTGCGGTGAGTTGAGATAGCGCCATTGCACTCCAGCCTGGGCAGCAAGAGCGAAACTCCATCTCAAACAAAAAAAAAATTCATTGTCTTTTGCATCCACACTTAACTGATTTTGATTGTTTAACTTGTGTTAGTATCTGTGGCCTGCAGATCATCTGAACATAAGAAAAGTATTCAGATTTTGTAAGAAAGTAATGCTGATTTAAAATCTTAAATTTGCATATGTGGCTATTAAAGTCCAGGAATTTTTAATACATACAAGAAGTGTTTAGCATTATTTTTTAATAAATGAAGGTATAAAACGTTTTTTCATGATGTGATTATGAAATGGATAGAATTAAACTTCTGTCCACAATTTTCCATTCTCACCATTTTTTAGAAGTATTTTCTAAGTAACAGTAGGGTTAGTGACCACATTGATATGGAAAGGCATACTTAATGATATGTACAAGTTTTAGTTTTAACTTTATGGAAAATTGAACTTTAACGTCTCTTCCCAAGATTAATATATGAACTTTTACCAAATACATATTAGCAAATATTGATTTGGCCCCCTTGAAAGCATCATACCAGGTTTTACTTCCATATGTTTTTCTATTGGTGACCCTTTAATGGCTGCCCTGTGATACTTTCTTTTGTATTCTTCTGGTGGACCTCATGTCTCTAATTGATGTAATCTAAATGTGTCTGCTAGGTTTTTGTGAGGGGTTTTTTTTTTGGCATCTGTGCTTAGATGAATGTCAGTTTCCTTAACTAGTTTTCCCATAGACTCAGCCATGCTGTTCATTCAGGCTGCTGTCTCCGCCTTCTTCTCTACTCCACTGAATCCCTTTCTGGGAAGTGCAATATTCATCACTTCATATGTCCGACCTGTGAAATTCTGGGAGAGAGACTATAAGTGAGTAAAGTAAAACACTTGAAAGACAATTTTTATCTTTTCTACTGGGAAAAACTATTGACAGCATTATTATTAAAATTGATGGTTCATAATTTATTGTATTGAAATATTTATTTTTGCTAAAACTTTATATTTTTAAAATTTGAAAAGTATGTAAAAGAAGAGACCAGAGAATATTACTTTTTTTTCTTTTTTTCTTTTATTATTATTATTTTTTGAAACAAGGTTTCATTCTGTCGCCTAGATGAATTCAGTGGTACTTCTTGGCTCACTGCAACCTCCACCTCCTGGGCTCAAGTGATCTTCCTGCCTCAGCCTCCCAAGTAGTGGGTACTACAGGCATGAGACACTACACCAGCTAATTTTGGAAGTTTTTGTAGAGATGGAGTTTCACCATGTTGCCCAGACTGCTCTCGAACTCCTGAGCTCAAGCAACCCACCTGCCTCTGCCTCCCAAAGTGTTAGGATTACAGACATGAGCCACTGGGCTCAGCCATTTTTTTCTACTTAAAAGATATTTTTAAACATTCTGATTGAGTATGTTCATTTTTATATCTTTTTTCTTTCAGTGATATTAGAATTATTTCACATTAATAATAGTCTGCAACTTTATGCTGTGTAATATCATTATAGAGTCATAATGGGTTATAGTTTTCTTAGAAATACCTATTTCTAAAGCTAAATTTTTATAGGTTATTTCTGCTATTTTGAGAAGATAAATTTTTAATGACCATCTTTGTGCATTACATATTTTCTCAATTTAGTCTTAGTTCCTTAGACTAGCTTTTTAATCTAAAGCTTAGTAACTATCCTCATATGTAATCTCTCCACATTTCATTTTATTTCAGAAAGCATTCCTAAAAGGGAACACTTTCAGGAGTTATGAGTTACGGAGCGTAAACATTTTAAAGGCTTTTTTCTTTTTTTTTTTTGAGACAGAGTTTCGCTCTTGTTGCCGAGGCTGAAGTGCAATGGCATATCTTGACTCACTGCAACCTCTGCCTCCTGGGTTCAAGCGATTCTTCTGCCTCAGCCTCCCAAGTAGCTGGGATTACACACCCAGCTAATTCTGTAATTTTTTTAGTAGAGATGGGGTTTCTCCATGTTGGTCAGGCTGGTCTCGAACTCCAGACCTCGGATGATCCACTCACCTCAGCCTCCCAAAGTGCTGGGATTACAGGCGTTAGCCACCATGCCTGGCTAAAGGCTTTTAATATATATTGACACATTGGTTTAGAAAGAGCTTGTGCTAATTTATAATTCTACTGACCATCTCCATGACAGCCTTTCTCTCCATACTGTCACAAATTGGAATATTTAATAGGTGAAAATCGTAATCTCACCTTTTAAACAATGGACTAGTTTGTAGGTTTGAAACTTTTACTCTGGTCCTTTGTCTAAAACCACACATAAGTAGTTCCCATTTTGTTGAATTTCGGTGTTATTTATTATTGTTATTCTGGACTAATTAACCCAAAGTAATATTCAGTGGCAGCAGTTCTTTTTGGTTTTAGAACCCCTTTATACTTTGAGACAGAGTTTCACTCTTGCACCCAGGCTGAAGTGCAGTGGTATGATCTCAACTCACTGCGACCTCCCCCTCCTGGGTTCAAGCAATTCTCCTGCTTCAGCCTCCCAAGTAGCTGAGATTACAGGTGCCCACTACCAGTCCTGGCTAATTTTTGTATTTTTTAGTAGAGACAGAGTTTCACCATGTTGGTCAGCTGGTCTTGAACTCCTGATCTCAGGTGATCCACCAGCCTTGGCCTCCCAGAGTGCTGGGATTATAGTTGTGAGCCTCTGCACCCAGCCTTATGCTCTTAAAAATTATTGGAAACACTAGAGCTAGAGTTTTAAAAATATGAATTTTATCCACTAATATTTACTGGAGTGGAAAGAAAAACTAAAAAATTTCAAATCTTATTAATTAATTTAAAAATAATACCATATCTATTGTGTATTAGCATAAATAACATTTTAAAGTTAAGAATAACTATATTTCCACCCCTCCCAAAAAAAAATTAAGGAGAAGAGTGGCATTGTTATATCGTTTTGCAAATCTCTTAATGTCTGGCTTATTAAAAGACAACTGGATTCTCATATCTACCTATTTATTCAGTCAGTTGCAGTATATTGTTTTGACTGAAGTATGTGAAAAACAATTTTATCCTCACACTCACTGTGTTGGCCAGGCTGGTCTCGAAATCCTGACCTGAAATGATCCACCTGCCTTGGTCTCCCCAAGTGCTGGGATTACAGGCATGAGCCACCGTGCCCAGCCAAAAAAGATGTATTCTAATAGTCTTTTAAGACAATCACGGATAGTTTTCTTTGATCTTTCAATGAAACCTGAGAAATGGAGCTTCTTAAAAGCTACTTGCAATATGGAATCTAAAACCACATCTGTGATCTTTTAGAACTAACTATACTATATCAATATAGTTACTGATGGATAAGTATACTTTGAATGGATCTTTTACCCATGCATAATTTTGTAATATTTCATATTGGATATTTGGAAATTACTAGCTCATTGAGTAATAGATTTTCTAAATGTTGATACATTTTATTATTTAGTGATTTAAAAAATATGTTCATTGATACCACCACCAGTTGGAAAGAAATTTTAATTGTTGGAAAGCTGTCAAGCTCATGGTTGTAGATATGAGTTTCCTAAAATTTTAATTTTTGTTTGAAAATTTGGAATTTTTATTATTGTCAACAGGTATTTCCAGTTGTTTTCCTTGAAATAACAGGCTCAGTTTCTTTATTTTTGAGAAATATCTGTTAAATGCCCACATCTAAGTAGTCTCATAATTTTTTCATCAGTGTTAAGTAAAAATGGTGTTCCAAGAAAAAAAACATAGCTAGTTCAGCTCAGAGTTGAAGCAGTTGCACAAATGCTTTCCCTCATGACAGCCATTGTACTTCGGAAGGCAGCAGAAGTGCTTCATATGTATTTTCTCATTTTGCCATACAGAATATTAAAAGCCGTACTGTAGGGTGAGATTTAATAAAGCTAATACGTTTTACTTCTTCATTAGGGACATTTTTATGTGAAATTTTGATTTTTTTGTTTGCTTTATTGTGTAAGTGTGGCAGCAAAGGGTAGTATGGTTTGGTGCTGCAGCCTTGATTCATGCCCAGGCACCACAGGCTTACCCACCATTGCTTTAGTACCACCAGTGCAGTTGTCAACACGATGAAAAAAGCAAATAACCGCTCAGTGTTACTTTGAAAACAGTTTTGATCTGGAAAACTGCCTGAAAGAGCCTTGAGTTCTGTGGACCACATTTTGGGAACTACTGTTCCAAAGAACACTGCATCACTGAGCATTAATAGATACACCTTCCTTCGGCAAAGAATGTTCTAAGCTCTTTGAATTTTGGAGAACCATATATAGTATACATTTTTTCATCCTGGTCAGCTTTTTTTTTTTCACAGTGCATGTATAAATGTCTTTCCATACACTGTAGAATAAAAAAAAATCTGCTATGTTGATGTGTGGTGAAGGAGGGAGGATTTTTTTAAATTACCAAAAGTGCTAAAGGTGTTTTGTCATTACACTAATCACAGATTTTTTCTAGAGATTTCCATAAAGTGGTAACCTTTATTCATTTTCTATGGTTTCTCCCTCACTCTTAGTTGTTAAATATTTTTTAATATAAAGAAAGTTACTAAAAATGTTTTATTTTCTTTAGCACAAAACGAGTGGATCATTCAAATACCAGATTGGCTTCTCAGCTTGATAGAAATCCAGGTAATAGCTCTATTTGTGAATAAGGAGGCGAGTCTAAGGATTTGTTTTATATATATATATATATATATATATATATATATATATATATATATATATATATATGTATGTATGTTTATATTCACTCCTAACTTGATGGGAATCCTCCATGAAATCCAAATATTCACTTTTAAAAACTAAATACTATTTTTTTTACTTTAGCAAAGTATATGTGAATTACAGTATCTACAATTTCTATACCCATCCTTTATAAAATGCATCTTAAGAATGCTTATAAGAATGAAAAATTCCATTCAAAGATTATTCTTACATAGGTTAAAATGTAGAAAAATGGTTAAAATAAAACTGGTCAGATGTGTTGTTGAAGAGTATGCAATCAGACTGACACATGTCTCACTAGTATGTTTGCTTCCACCCTTCCCTCAATGTTTAGGTCAATATTAATTTAATTTGATTCTGTTTATTGTATACAGAGAAGTCATCAAGTTGGGGCATATAGCCAGTCAGGATAGAGCTTCAATCCTTGCTGGTGTTAGTTACCATTATTTGAAGTCTGGTTCTTAGTTTTGTCATTTGAGAAACATCGTTTTATTGGCCCACCCAGTAGTAGTCTGTCACAAACAATCAGAGATTAGCATATCAACCAGGACTTCAGTGTATTAATTTACTAAAAAAAATATTATTCCCAAGTGTACTGGAATATTTGTATCTATTTGACTCATAAATTCCCTCAAATCCGATAGATTCTCAGTGATAAAATTGGACTAAGGAAAACTAGTTATTTGATATGAATGACCATCTATCGTCATGTTCTGGTAGAGAAAATAAGCATTTCAGCTTAGTGTATGCTTGTAAGGGGCTAGATTTCTCATGTTGCTCATGCCATCTTGCATAACAAAGGTCATGTCCTGAATCAGTATATGCACTTTTGTGTTGTGCTGACATAGAATTGATACAGCCATTTGTTGACATTAGAATCTGGGATTTCCCTTTCATTATTATTTAATTAGACTGAGTTTAAAATAATTATTAAACTTTGAATATTTTACCATTCACCAGTACTGTACTTGGGACATGCATTTATAGATTATTGCTTTGGATGAGTTACTTCTAGAGATGGTCATATCATTTATTAAGTGATGTTTATTTTAATGTCTCTTTTCTTTTCTTTTTTTATTTTCTTTCTTTTTGAGACAGAGTCTTGCTCTGTCACCCAGGCTGGACACAGTCACGGCTCACCGCAACCCCCACCTCCCAGGTTCAAGCGATTCTCCTGCCTCAGCCTCCCAAGTAGCTGGGATTACAGGCATGCACTGCAACACCCAGCTAATTTTTGTATTTTTAGTAGTGACAGTTTCGCCATGTTGGCCAAGTTAGTCTCCTGGCCTGAAGTAACCTGCCTATCTCAGCCTTAAAGTGCTGAGATTCCATGCGTGAGCCATGGCGCCCAGCCTATCTTAATGTTTTTTTTAAGGTTCTCTGTGCTATATACTGTTTATTTCTGCTTAATATTAGTCATCTCAATATGGCTAGTACTGACTAACCAACTTCTTTTCGATTGTCTTATTTGTTCAAATCTTGTATTATTTTATCTACTTCCTTTACCATATAATCTTTTTGTTCCTCTTCTGAATTATTATTTTTTATTTCTCTCTTACATGGTTTTAATTATAAGCCATATTTCATTGAATAATTATGAACTGTTGAATAGGTCAAAAGTCCTTAGATTGCTCCAAATCAAATTCCCACATTTTGTGAATGGAAACTGTAGATTCTGAGGGTTATGTGACTTCTAAATCTAAATTCAGAAACCCTTTTTGTTTTCCTATGTGTTACTTTTACATGGAAACTGTAAGAGTATGAATATTATTTTCCTTGTCAAATAAACTCTTACTAGAAGTTTTTAATATTTTTAACAATCTTGTATGTAAAGGGGACTTAAGGTGAAATTTAACTTTTTTTAAAATTCTTTTTTACAGGATCAGATGACAACAATCTGAATTCCATCTTTTATGAACATTTAACTAGATCCCTACAACATAGCCTCTGTGGTGATTTGCTACTAGGACGGTGGGGAAACTACAGTACAGGGGACTGTTTCATCCTTGCCTCTGACTATCTCAATGCATTAGTACACCTTATAGAGATAGGCAATGGTCTGGTCACTTTTCAGCTGCGGGGACTTGAATTCAGAGGTAAGACATTCATTCACCTTTTATTTCTATAGTATACTTTAGTAGCACCTAAGTTTTACATGTTTCTGTCTCAAACCTTCTGGTTCTCATAGAATTATTAGATATCTGTGCTTGTGGAATGAGAAAAGTTGTTAAAAAGTAAGTATTAGATTTTTTCACCCCACATTCCATGTTCCAAGAAGAATCGTTTGCAGTATGGCTTCATATGTAAAGGTAGTAGCATTAGTGTATAATTGATTTGTTTTCCTGGATAGGTTGAATTTCTCTTGTTTTGTGCTTGGTCTATTGCTGGTCCCTTTTGTGACCAGTTGCATAAATTTGTTAGATAGCTAGCAACAAGTAATGCTGAATTTTTGTTTGAGACAAAATAATTACCTGAGTTATGTTTATATAGATACCATGGCTTTGTCCTCAACAATTCTTTTTAATTGAAGTGAAATGCATGTAAAATGAAATTATTTAGAGCGAAGAAATCAAGAGCGTTTAGTACATTCACGGTGTTGGGCAGTCACCACCTCTGTCTCATTCCAAAGTGTTTTCATCACTCCAAAATAAAACTCTGTACCCATTAAGTAGTTACTGGCCTTTCTCCCTTTCATCAGCCTGATAAAGTTATTTACAGAAAATCATGCATTCAGAAACATCAGCTTGATGTTATCAACTCCTGTAAAACTGAATAACATGTAAGCACCAGTAGAAACTGGTTTCATAGGATGTTTAAGTCCTTTTACTGAATATCTTTCCTGTCTAGGAAACATTTAGACTTAAGAGTAGTTTTTTATCTAGTCTAAGAAGTGCTTTGGATATTTTTAGTCTGGAATAGAAATAAGAAAGCATTTGACTACAAAGAGGATGAAGCCAGATCTGTAACCCCATAGCTTTATTTTCACCCTGGTGTTGCTTAAGAAGGCTTGCAAGTTCGCTGTGGAGTGTCTATGTTAGTGGAGCAAGTATTAGTCTAGAAGTTACATTGTTCACTAGAAATAAGTCTTTAGCTATGCAGCACTCAAATTAATGGAGTAAATGGTGATGTTTACTTGTGATCTGTTTATAATCCATTCATATTCTCTTGCCCTTCAAAATATCTTATGAATATTTGTTTCTGCCTCTCCATCAGGAGCCTAGGACCTTAATTCTGTCTCTTCTAGAGTCTTAACCCCAGGCTGTTCAAACCTAATTCAACTAGGCTCATCCAAAAGTTAGCATACCCTTACCACCATTCCTACTACTGCTGTGACTTTTAGCTTCCTTTTTAAGTTTTTGCACCTGAAGACTTCATCCTTGTTTTTAAATTTTAATTTAATTTTTTAAAACAAATCTATGTGGGAGGCTGTTTTATCTAACATTTCTATGTATGTGAAATGAAAGGGGGTTCTTCTTACCATCTGCTCACTCCATCATGTTGATCAGTAGTTCTCCAAATCAGAAAAATTATCTAGCTTTTCACTCTCTGGTATTGAGTAGATTCAAATAAACTTTTGGATAAGTCTTTTGCTGTCTAAATGCTAAGTATTTGCCTATTGAAACTCAAATTTGGAAATAGAGTAACACTATTTGAACTCCTACAGGTTTGGGTAACAAGGGATACCTATAATTCTTAACTCGGACATAAGCTTTTTTTTTTTTTTAAGAGACGGGGTCTCACTCTATCACCCAGGCTGGAGTGCAGTGGCATCATCACAGCTCACTGTATCTTCAAACTTCTGGGCTCAAGGGATCCTCTTGCCCCAGTCTCCTGCATAGTTGGGACTACAGGTGCCAACTCCTGCCAATTTTTTTTTTTTTTTTGTAGAGATGGTTGTCTCACCATCTTGCCAAGGCTGGTCTTGAACTCCTGAGCTCAAGTGAGACCCCCCCCCCCGCCCACCCGCCTTGACCTCCCAAAGTGCTAGAATTGTAGGTGTGAGCCACCACACCAGCCAGAATTTTTTAAAAGACACGTTTGATCATGGCATTCCCATGCTTATAATTTTTCAGTGACTTCTCATTGCATTTAAGATAGAATTCAACTGACAGAACATATCCTACAGTACTCTATGATCTGGCCTCTGCCACTTTCTCCATCCTCACTTTACAGCACTATCTGCACTCACTGGAGCCATACTGGCCTTCTTGCAGTTTCTTAGATGTGCTAAAGTCTTTACTAAGACCTCCTTTTTGCCCTTCATTTGCCAGAAGGTACCAGCTGTCTCTCTTCCTCCCCTAATCCTCCATCTGGCTGATTCCTTTGCCTGAATGTCCTTTTCTCAGAGAAGCCTTTTCTAGCCACCTGTCCCATGTGATGATCTCGTTTTACTCTGTGTTTGTCGTTAGACTCTTACGCAGTCATGGACTGTAGCAGTGGACTACATGTATCACAATGATCCCTTAAGATTATAATGGAGCTGAAAAATTCCTATTAGTGACATCGTAACCATTCTGTCCTAGCACCTAGCATTACTTGTGTTTATGGTGATGCTGGTATAAACAAAACTATGCTACTGGTCATATAAAAATCTAGCACATACAATTATGTACAGTACGTAGTACTAGATAATGATAATAACTGTGTTTACCGTATTATACTTCTTGTGGTTAGAATGTGCTTTTTTATTAAAAAAAAAAAGTTTACTTTAGAACAGTATGTCTTGTTATGCCAGTGGCAGACTCATATATCTCACATTTACCATGTCTCTTGATTGCATCGTTTTCTCTGTGTTTCATTTGATCTTGTGTCATTTTGTTTTATGGCCCCTCTGTGTACAAAATTCACAGATAATGTTGCCAAGAAGAGGCCACTTCGAGTAGATTGACCAGTGAGCTAAATTAAAAGTGGTTAAGGACTATGAAGGTGGCAAATCACCAATGGTTATTGCGTGCCAGGTAATTATGTCTCATTTCACTGTAGCTATGATCTTGAAGAATAAGAACAAAGTGATGAAAGCTGTTAAAGGACCTACTCCATTGAAGACAAAAAGATGAACAAAAATTTGAAAAGGGCCTAAATCAGACATGGAGAAACTACTGAAGACCAGACACAGAAGCATATACCTCTCAGCAGCATGACAATCTCAGACAAAACAGAAAATTTGTTTGCAATATTGAAAGAAAAGGTTGAACACAACTATGGTGTTGAATTTTCTGATAGCTTTGGGTGATTTTATTCAAGAATTGTTATTTGTTGTATAATGTGAAAGCTGGTAAGTGCTAAGTCTGTAAATGCTGATGTGAAAGCAGCTGAAGAATTTTTGGAAACTCTAGATAAGCTGACTGTGAGGAAAATTACTTGACAAGGCAAATATTCAGTATGGATGAAAGCTTGCTGTTCTGAAAACAGATACTGGAAAGGACTTTTCATCCATAAAGAGGCCAAGTCAATGCCAGGTTTCAAGGCATTAAGGACAGGAAAACAGTCTTGCCTGGGGAAATGTTGCAGGTTACAAATGGAAGCCCTTTGTGACCTTGCCCAGTGAGAACCCCAGGGCCTTCAAGCTTATCACTAAACATACACTGCCAGGGTATTGCAGGAGCAATAAGAAGTCTTGAATGACCCAGCTTTTCTTCCAAGATGCCCTCCTGAATTGCTCTTCTAGAGCAATGGAGAAGTACTGTTTGGAGAATAACATACCATTCGAGATTGTGCTTATTGTTAATAATGTTCCACACATCCTCCTTTTATTGGTGATCTTTATCCCAGTATCAAACTGGTATTTCTGCCACCAATTACCATCTCTCTGATCAACCAATGGATCAAGGAGTTAGAGCAGCTTTTCAGGCCAACTACCTGAGAAGGATGTTTACCTAGGCTATTTCTGCAACTGAGGAAGACACTGATAGAATTCTGGAAGGATTACATCTATGACTGCATCAAGAACCTTGCTTAGGGTGAGGTCACCAATGTGGGTATGAGTGGCATCTGGAAGAAGGCACTCAACAGGTTCGTCTGTGACTTTAAAGGATTTTCCAAGGATGAAGAGGTTGCAAAAATCAACATGGCTGTGTTTGAAGATGGCAAACAATTTTAATCAATGTGTGGATGAGGATGACATTGATAAGCTCCTAGAGGTGGTTTCTGAGGAACTGACTAATGAGAGGATGTTGGAACTGGAACAGGAATGCATAGCTGAAGAACAGGCAAGAGAAAGGGAAACTGCAGAGAAGAAAAACAAGAAACCCCAAGAAAACTGATGGTGAAGGGTTTGGCAGAAGCTTTTGCAGACCTCAACAAACTCCTTAAAAAGTTTGAAAACATGGACCCTAACACCAAAAGATTTTCATTAATAGAGAGGAGTGTTCTTGCTGCATTTTCTGCATACAAGCAAATCTCTGGTGAATGAAAGAAACAAACCAAGCAAACTATTGTGAACATATTTCTTCCAAAAGTGATACTTCCTCAAGAAGAGCATCAGGCAGGTCCTTTAGGAAGTGTCCAGAAGAAAGCATTGTTGTCACAGGAGATGGCAGCTCCATGCCTGTCATTCATTGCTTCTGAAGTCCTTCCAGTGGGACAAGATGTGGAGGTGCAAGACAGTGATATTGATGACCCTGACCCTTTGTAGGCTTTGGCTTATGTGTGTGTTTGTGTCTTAGTTTTTAGCAAAAAAGTTTAAAAAGTAAAAAAATTTAAAATTTTAAAATAGAAAAAAGCTTACAGAATAAGGATATAAAGAAAAAATATTTTTATGCAGTTATACAATGTGTTTGTGTTTTAAGCTAAGCATTATTACAAAAGAGACGAAAGATTTTTGAAAGTTAAAAGTTTATTAAGAAAGTTACAGTAAACAGTTAAATTTATTGGTAAATAAAATAATTCAATTAATTTCATGTAGCCTAAGTTATAGTATTTATAAAGTTTATAGTAGTGTACAGTAACATCCTAGGCCTTTTCATTCACTCACTACTCACTCTGTAACTCACCCAAAGGAACTTCCAGTCCTGCAATCTCCATGTGTGTTAAGTGCCATATATAGATGTACCATTTTTTATCTTTTCACCATATTTATGCTGTACCATTTCTCTGTTTAGATATGTTCAGATACACAGATACTTACCTTTGTGTTACTGTTAGTGACATTATTTACTACCATAACATGCCGTACAGGTTTGTAGCCTAGGAGTAATAGGCTATATTCTATAGCCAAAATGTGCAATAGGCTCTACCATCTAGGTTTGTGTAGGTACATTCTATGATGGTTGCACAATGAAATTTTTTAACAGCACTTCTCAGAATGTATCCCCATAGTTATGCATCACGTGACTGTGTTGGTTTATTGTTTAAAGTTTATTTTTTCTCTAGCCAAAGGCATACTTTTTCTATTAGGAGCCAGACAGTAAATATTTTAGGGTTTGAGAGCCATACACATTCTCTGTTGCATATTCTTCTTTGCTGTTTTTTCTTTCTTCTAAATGACCCCTTAAAAATATTGAAACTATTCTAAGCATGGATTTCGCCCAGGGCTGAAGTTGATCAATCTTTGTTCCAGAATATAGGCAGATTCCAAAGGGCAGGAATCACATGTGCTTCATTTGTCATTATGTATCCGTACCTATCACACACAGCAATTAGTATATAATACATATTTTGTTAATTTCATAGAATGGTTAAATAATGTAAGTATATAGCCTTTTCTTCTTTCAGTTCATTCCAGAGCTCTCATAAGGGATGAGTATATTCTTGCTCACATGTTGATGTAACCTTTAGTTACTTTCAAATTCCTGTAAGTGTTGACATTTTGACCTCCTCCCATGAATCACAGAATGTCCTTACTGGCATCTAAAATGGTGAATCCTTTCCAGGAGGTTGTCAGTTTACTTTGCCCAGAGTCATCAGAGGAATCCCTCTGTGCCAGCTATAGCCTTCCAAAATTTATTTCTTAAGTAATAAGACTTGACAGGTGAAATTATTTCTTGATGTACAGAATGCAGAATGGGTTGTGTTAGCAGGCATGAAAACAACACTAATGTCCTTGTACATTTCCATCAGAGCTCTTAGGTGATCAGGTGCATCGTCAATAAGCAGTAGTATTTGGAAAGGAATCTTTTTTTCTGAGCAGAAGGTCTCAACAGTAGGCTTAAAATATCCAGGAAACCATGCTATAAACAGATGTGCTGTCATCCATGCTTTGTTATTCCATTTATAGTGCACAGTTAGAGGAGATTTAGCATAATTCTTAAAGGTTCTAGCATTTTTGGAATGGTAAATGAGCATTTCAGCTTAAACTTAGCAGCTGTATTAACCCCTTTTAAGAGAATCAGACTCTCCTTTGAAGATTTGAAGCCAGGGATTGACTTCTCTCTAGCTGTGAAAGTCCTAGACGGCATCTTCTTCTGGCATAAAGCTGTTTAATCTGTTTTGAAACTCCGTTATGTAGTGTAGCCACCTTCATCAGTGATCTTAGATAGATGTGGATAACTTGCTACAGCTTCAGCGTCTGCACTTGGAGCTTCACCTTGCACTTGTCTCTTACGAAGACAGCTTCCTTAAATCTCGCTTCCAGCTTTTCTTCTGCAGCTTGGTTGCTTCTCAGCCTTCATAGAATTGTAGACAGAACTTTGCACTGGATTAGGCTTTGGCTTAGGGCAATATTATAGTTGGTTTGATCTTCTCTCCAGACCATTCAAACATTCTCCATATCAGCAATAAGGCTTTTTTGCTTTCTTTTATGTGTTCACTGGAGTAGTACTTTTAATTTTCTTCAAGAATGTTTCCTTTCCATTCACAACTTGGCTATTTGGTGCATGAGGCCTAACTTTTGGCCTATCCTGGTTATATAGTTTGGATTTGTGTCCCTGCCCAAATTTCACGTCGAATTGTAATCCCCAATGTTGGAGGAAGGGCTTGAAAGGGGGTGACTGGATCATGGGGGTGGATTTTTCCCCTTGCTGTTCTCGTGATAGTGAGTTATCACGTGATCTGGTTGTTTAAAAGTGTGTAGCACCTCCCCCTTAGCCCTTTTTCTCCTGTTCCAGCATGTAAAACATGCCTCTTTCCCCTTCTACCATGATTATGTTTCCTGAGACCTCCCCAGCCATGCTTCCTGTACAGCCTGTGGAACCATGAGCCAATTAAACCTCTTTTCTTTATAAATTACCCTGTGGGGAGGGATAGCCTGGGGAGAAATGCCAAATGTGGGTGAAGGGGAGAAAGGAAGCAAAACACACTGCCATGTGTGTACCTATGCAACTGTCTTGCATGTTCTGCTCATGTACCCCAAAACCTAAAATGCAATAAAAAATAAAAATAAAAAAAATTAATTACCCTGTCTCAGGTAGTTTTTTTTTTTTTTTTTTTTTGAGACGGAGTCTGGCTCTGTAGCTCTGTAGCCCAGGCTGGAGTGCAGTGGCACTATTTCAGCTCACTGCAACGTCTACCTCCCAGTCCAGATTCAAGCAATTCTCCTGCCTCAGCCTCCCATATGGCTGGGATTATGGGAATGCGCCACTATGCCCAGCGAATTTTTGTGTTTTTTAGTAGAGATGGTGTTTCAGCATGTTGGCCAGGCTGGTCTTGAACCCCTGACCTTGTGATTCACCCATCTCGGCCTCCCAAAATACTGGAACTACAGGCATCAGCCACCGCACCTGGCCTCAGGTAGTTCTTAATAGTAATGCAACAACAGACTAATGCACTTGGCTTTTGACATGCCTTCCTCACTAAGCTTACTTATTTCTAGCATTTGATTTGAAGTGACACATGTGACTGTTTCTTTCACTTAAACACTTAGAGGCCATTATCATGTTATAAATTAGCTAGATTTCAATATCCCCATTGTTGTGTCTTAGGGAATAGGAAGACCTGAGAAGAGGGAGAGATAGGGGAATGACTTGTCAGTGGAGTAACCAGAGTTTATACACCGTTTGTCAATTTAAATTTGCCGTCTTATATGGGCATAACTTATGGTATCCCAGAGTACTTAAAACAATAATATTAAAGATCACTGATCACAAGTCATCATTATAGATACAATAGTAACAAAATGTTTGAAATATTGAGAGAATTACCAAAATGTGATCCAGAAAAAAAGGAAGTAAGCACATGCTGTTGGAAAAATGGTACCAACAGACTTTCTTGACACAGAGTTGTCTCAAATCTTCAATTTGTAGATATCACAATGCCTTCAAAGAACAATAAAGCAAAGCACAATTAAACAAAATGTATGCCTGTATATTTTTAGGGAGTATCTTATAAAATAGTCACCCACAGCATGTATTTATATCAATGTCAGGTTCAAGTCAAGGGTTTTTCTTGTCAACACTATGTAACATTATTATGGAAATGTTGGTGATAGTAATTAAATTTTTGTATTTTTACTTAAATAACATCCCACTGATTTTTGTATTTTTAAAATAAACTGAGACCTTCAGGAAACATGCCTTTACTCTTTGGTTCTTTATTTGATAAAAACACAATTGTAAATCCATTTGAAACATTTAGAAATAAGTCAAAATTAAAGTTACTTTACCACACAAATTTTCAGAACCCATAGTGTGCTAATGCACATTGTGTTTTTGCAGAATATGAATATAGACTATGCCTGATTTCTGGAGTTTGCTACAATTCATTAATGAATATTCTAAGGCAAATCCATTACATACTTTCAATTGCTATAAAATATGTATTTTTTCTAAATCTCAGGTGTCCTTGCATTCATTTTTCCCATTTTCTGGCTTTCCCCCTTTTTAATGGTCTCTCTCTCTCTCTCTCTCTCTCTCTCTCTCTCTCTCTCTCTCTCTCTCTCTCTCTCTCTCAGGTACCTACTGTCAACAACGGGAAGTGGAGGCCATTACTGAAGGTGTAGAGGAAGATGAAGGATTTTGCTGTTGTGAACCTGGCCATATTCCTCACATGCTTTCATTTAATGCTGCATTTAGCCAGCGATGGCTAGCTTGGGAAGTGATAGTCACAAAGTATATTCTAGAGGGTTATAGCATCACTGATAATAGCGCTGCTTCTATGCTTCAAGTCTTTGATCTTCGGAAAGTACTCACCACTTACTATGTCAAGGTAAGAGTATGTGCCTACTTAGTTAGATCTTCAGATAATCAGAGTTTCTTCTTGGGAATGACGTGTGTGTGTGTGTGTGTGTGTGTGTGTGTGTGTGTGCGCGTGCGCACACGCACATGTACAACTTTGTTTTAAAGTTGTGCTTTGCTTCTAAGTACTTATTTAAATTCTCTAGGATCCAGAAAAGTCCATAAAAATAAACCTACTAAGATCTTGCTTTTTCTATGTTTACTGGAATTCATTCCATTCATTCTTTAATAATAATAACTAGACATTTGAGGCTTGTGTTTTAGGCATTGTGCTAAGGAATATGTATACACAAATATGCATACACACATATGTGTATCTTAATTCTGTAGAGAAGTATTTCCCTATTTTACAAATAAACAACTTAAGGATCAGAAGCGAACTTGCCCAAGGTTCTCTAACAAGTAGAATTTGGGATTTAAAACCCAGGCATGTCTGAAACTTAAGACCTTGCTGTTGACCACAGCTTTGCACTGCTTTTATTCAATAAACTGAATAAAAGTATTGCAAAATTCAAGAGGTCCCCAAGACCACCCTCACTTTTGACATCAATTGTAATTTCAGGGTCCCCAAGACCACTCATAGGTACATTAAGTTGCTAGAAAGACTGCAGAACTCAGCAAAGTTGTCATACATTACACTCATGTCATTACAGTGGAAGGACACAGGTTAAAATAAGCCAAAGGAAGAGGTACATAGGATATTGTCCAGAGACACCGAGTCAAGGGGCTTCCAATTGTCCTCTCACAGCAGAGTTGCGCAGATGCCTGTTTCTCCCAGCAGTGAAGCATGGCAGTACTCATAGGGTGTTGTCCATCAAGGAAGCTTGCCCGCACTTGGTGTCCTGTCATGTAGGCAAGGTTGACCATCCGCATGGCCAGCTTAAGTCTCCAGGATGTCCAGAGGTCTTGGTGATACTGTATGGCTCTAGGCTCCCAGCTGAACAAGGACTCTTTAACAGGCAGGGCATCCCAAGGCTTAGAGGTTACTCTCTAGAACCTAAGGGTAAAGGCCAAACCTCTGGTTGGGCAAGGTTCATCCTTTACTGCATCAGATATTCTATTTTTGCTAAAGAGTTTACAGAAATACAGTATGGTTGTGATTTAGAGGCTTCTAGATGAGGCCACTATTTTTAAGAAGAAAATGTGTGCTAAGCTTTAATGACCAACATCTGAATTTTTCATACGTTTTTTTTTTTTTTTGAGACAGTGTTTCATTCTGCTGCCCAGGCTGGAATACAGTGCCACAGTTGTAGCTCACCACTGCCTTGACCTCCAAGGCTTAAGCAATACATCCACCTTAACCTCCTGAATAATTGGGACTACAGGTGTATGCTACCAGCTAATTTTTTATTTTTATTTTTGTAGAGGTGAGGTTTTGGTATGTTGCTCAGGCTCTTAAACTCCTGGGCTCCAACAGTTCTCCCACCTTGGCCTCCCAAAGTGCTGGGGTTATAGGTATGAGTCACCATGCCCAGCCTGAAATTTTCATATCTTATATTGTTACCTCTCCCCACCACCTTATTTGCTGATTGGGATGAATGTTGAGCCTTCCATTTAATGTTTGGTTAAACCTAACCTCAGGAAGCTAGAGATTGACTTCACAATATTTTTTTACTCTCGTGTGCGTGTGGCATTTTCTGTCTCTAGTTCTAAATATATATCTCTGTAACTTGACCTAGGACCACCAGATGGCTTTAATAACTCTCTATAAGGAAATTATTCAACATAAATGCACCAAAGTAAAGTGTTTTTGGTTTTTTTTTGTGTGTGTGTTTTTGTTCGTTTGTTTTTTAACCTCTTTTGAAATATCTTAAGTTCAAAAGCTCTAAAATCAATAGATTAGGGCCAGGCATGGTGGCTCACACCTATAATCCCAGCATTTCGGGAGGCAGAGGCAGGCAGATCACTTGAGGTCAGCAGTTTGAGACCAGCCTGGCCAACATACTGAAACCCCATCTCTACTGAAAATTTTAAAATTAGTCAGATGTGGTGGTGGATACCTATAATCCCAGCTACTTAGGAGGCTGAGGTAAAAGAATCCCTTGAACCCAGGAGGTAGAGGTTGCAGTGAGCCAAGATTGCACCACTGCACTCCAGCGTGGATAACAGAGTGAGACTCTGTCTCAAGAAGTAAATAAAATAAAATAAATAAATGGATTGTTTTGAAGTTGCTTTGCTGAATTTATGATTGTGATTTTAAAGTATTAAATGTTTTTTCATCCAGTAAGGCTTGGGATATATTATTATAGTGTTCTTAAAATATATATGTAGAATATTGAGGGGAATAAAATACTTTTTAGTCATACTATCATTATAAATAATTGGAATTTATTTCACTGAGGAATATTAGTTCATTGAAATTGTGATTTAATCTGAATTGTTTTTTTTTTTTCCTCTTGTTCATATTAGGGTATCATTTATTATGTTACGACCTCTTCTAAGCTGGAGGAGTGGCTAGCTAATGAGACAATGCAAGAAGGACTTCGTCTGTGTGCAGATCGCAATTATGTCGATGTGGACCCGACCTTTAATCCAAACATTGATGAAGACTATGACCACCGACTGGCAGGCATATCTAGGGAGAGTTTCTGTGTGATTTACCTCAACTGGATAGAGTACTGCTCTTCCCGAAGAGCAAAGGTAGAGTTTGTGTATTTCGTTTACAACTCTTTGAATCCAGGTTTTTCCAAAGTTACAAACAATGTCCCTGTCCGTTCTTATGAGGTCAGTTTTTCCAGACCTTCCTCTTTTTGATCTTCTGGTTAAGATAACCTTCTGGTTCATTATGGTTGGGCCAAACCAACTCTGCCAAACCAGGTTAAAAGAAGTGGTCTCCCTCCTCATTTCATTTGCAGTGTCCCAGTCTTGCTGCCCAGGTAGCACCCCCTCCACCCTGGGCATGCACATGCGATCACATACATTCAAATTCCATGCATTACCCTCCCAAATCTAGTCCTTAAGAAATTCTACCTCTGTCTGCCACACTTGAGGATAATTAAATGTCTTTGTCCCAAATACAAAGTCTATACCTGTGCTGGCTAATAGACTTTCTGCAGTGTTGGAAATGTGCTATCACTACCACATGCAGCTGTGAACGTGAAATGTGCCTAGTACAACTAAAGAGCTGAATTGTAAATTTTATTTAATTTGAACTGGTTTAAATTTAATAGCCCATAGAGCTAGTGATTACCATATTGGACAGTGTGCATCTAGACCACTGATTTTCAAATATTAATGTGAGTAAAAAAGACATAGGAACCTGTAAAAATACATATTCCTGAAGCCCACTTGCAAGATCCTGATCTAGGTCTAGGCTGGAGACATAAAAGTCTGTATCACCCTAGGTGATTTTAATTCTGATTGTTCCCACATGTTTGGATAACGTGTCTTATCCTAAAAGTAAGATGAGTTAGGGACTTCAGCAACTGCAGCTTCTTTCTAGGTCTCGTGATTCTTGTGGTAGTATCACACCCCGGGTCAGACTCCATGTAACATAACCGCGGTGCCAAGACCAGTGATTGCAAAGCTGATTCCTACCACCACTACTGCTTTTTAAGCAAAACCCTTGTGTAGTCGGACCACCAGTGTCCTATGTACAGATTTACCCAGGATCATGGAACATAGTGAGCTACCTTGACAACTGGTTCCTTCATCATGGTCTAGGAGATGCCTACTGACCATCTTCAGATTAGCACCTGGTTTAGTCCTTCCTTTGCTACCACTTAGAGTAAAACAGCCATCATATCAGCTTCATTTTACTCCATCAGTAAGAAGAGGAGCATCTTGTACTTCCTCTCTGAGCAGTGGCCTTTGAGCTTTTATACTAGATGTGCAGTATATACTGAGCGAAGTAGTACATCTTAAAAGAAAGGATAATGAGTTGGATAAAATAACCTCAGAAAAGGCTTAGAAGACCTGTATGCAACAGCTGGAAACAGAGGACCTCAAAGCTAAACTTCTTTCTTCCAAACAAATAATAAGCAGTTTTATTTTTTCATAAATAAAACTTACTTCAAATGCTTTGCGTACCGTTCATTCTCAAATCCTGGTACTGACTTTTGTTGAAGGGAGTAGTGGGAAGGGTCATATTATTCTATGGCTCTTCTTTGACTTGGATGATATTGGTTATTTTGTTGTTACTTAATCAGGATCTTGTGGGCTAGGGGTTAATAGTCTACCCACTCAGGAACAGGGACCCATCCTACCTTCAGGACCTTTCTCTTAGAGATTATTGCTGAGGTCATAAACATGGCTCAAGGAAATCCTCCTCATTGGTAATAAATTATATATTCAGAAGGTTTACCTCTAAACTTGGGTAACCCCCGTCTCTTCGGGTAGCTTATTTCACTAATCCTACTCTGTTTTATTTTCTACTCTTATAATCTGTTTGGAAGAAAATTATCAGTTGTATTTTTTTCCAGCTATATACTCTCCCTTCTGCTCTAGTTTTTCTTTTAAGTTGAACAAGATTATCTTCATCTCCTTAAGATCTTGCACATTATTCTCTGAATCAACATTCCCAGAATAACCTCTTCCTGGGGACGTTAATCAAGCCAGACTTGCTGACTCCAAGCTGTAGTGTCCTCATCTGAATGTTTAAAAGCTGCCTCAGACCCTTCTTCCATAGTTTCTTTTCAAGGTAGTATAAGATTGATACTGAATTAACTGTATTACCGTTACCTTCAATGCGAACGTGAAAGGATTCATCTCAGTTTCTTTCTTAACTACTTTTCAAATAATAAGAATTTCTTTCACTTTTGTTGTTAGTGTTAGCAAGAATTCTTGGTGAGAATTTCTAATGCTATTTAGGGAATAGGGCACACACCTTCTCCAGCAGTAACAAAATAGTACTGCCAGGCTTGAACTAATTTTTTTCTTTCAGCAAATTAAAGATGTTGCTATATTGTCTTCTGGCTTGCATTGTTTCTGATGGGAAGTCTGCTGTCATTCTTTTCTTTGTTCCTCTGAAAAAATGATAAGTCCAATAAAATATCTTTTTTCACTGGCTGCTTTTAAGATTTTCTCTTTATTACTGGTTTTAAGCAATTAAATATTATGTGCCTTAATGTAGATTTCTCATGTTTCTTTTTTTATTATTATACTTTAAGTTCTGGGATACATGTGCAGAACGTGCAGGTTTGTTAACATAGGTATACACATGCCATGTTGGTTTGCTGCACCCATCAACCCGTCATCTATATTAGGTATTTCTCCTAATGCCCTATCCCTCCCCTATCTCCCCCGCACGCTCCAACAGGCCCTGGTGTGTGATGTTTCCCCACTCTGTCCATGTGTTCTCATTGTTCAACTCCCACTTATGAGTGAGAACATGCAATGTTTGGTTTTCTGTTCCTGTATTGGTTTGCTGAGAATGACCATTTCCAGCTTCATCCATATCCCTGCAAAGGACATCCCAGCTTCATCCGTTTTAATGGCTGCATATTCCATGGTGTATATGTGCTACATTTTCTTTATCCAGTCTATCATTGATGGGCATTTGGGTTGATTTCAAGTCTTTACTGTTGTGAACAGTGGCACAATAAGCATAAATGTGCATCTATCTTTATAGTAGGGTGATTTATAATCCTTTGGGTGTATATCCAGTAATGGGATTGCTGGGTCAAATGATATTTCTGGTTCTAGATCCTTGAGGTATCGCCACACTTTCTTCCACGATGGTTGAACTAATTTACACTCCCACCAACAGTGTGAAAGCATTCCTGTTTCTCCACATCCTCTCTAGCATCTGTTGTTTCCTGACTTTTTAAAGATTACCATTCTAACTGGCATGAGATGGTATCTCAGTGTGGTTTTGATTTGCATTTCTCTAATGACCAGTGACGATGAGCTTTTTTTCATGTTTGTTGGCCACATAAATGTCTTCTTTTGAGAAATGTCTGTTCATCGCCTTCTACTTTTTGATGGGGTTGCTTTTTTCTTGTAAATTTAAATTTTTTTGTAGATTCTGGATATTAGCCCTTTGTCAGATGGATAGATTGCAAAAATTTTCTCCCATTCTGTAGGTTGCTTGTTCACACTGATGCTAGTTTCTTTTGCTGTGCAGAAGCTGTTTAGTTTAATTAGATCTCATTTGTCAGTTTTTGCTTTTGTTGTCATTGCTTTTGGTGTTTTAGTCATGAAGTCTTTACCCATGCCTATGTCCTGAATGGTACTTATGCCTAGATTATCTTCTAGGGTTATATAGTTTTAGGTCTTAATTTTAAGTCTTTAATCCATCTTAATTTTTGTATAAGGTTGTAAGGAAGGGGTTCAGTTTTAGTTTTCTGCACATAGCTAGCCAATTTTCCCAACACCGTTTATTAAGTAGGGAATCCTTTCCCCACTCCTTGTTTTTGTCAGGGTTGTCAAAGATCAGTTGGTGGTAGATGTGCGACATTATTTCTGAGGCCTCTATTCTATTCCATTGGTTTATATCCCTGTTTTGGTACCAGTACCATGCTGTTTTGATTACTGTAGCCTTGTAGTATAGTTTGAAGTCAGGTAGCATGATACCTTCAGCTTTACTTTTTTTTTTTTGCTTAGGATTGTCTTGGTTATATGGCCTTTTTTTGGTTCCATATGAAATTTAAAGTAGTTTTTTCTAATCCTGTGAAGAAAGTCAGTGGTATCTTGATGAGGATAGCATTGAATCTATAAATTACTTTGGGCAGTATGGCCATTTTAACGATATTGATTCTTCCTATTCACAAGCATGGAATATTTTTCCATTCGTTTGTGTCCTCACGTATTTCCTTGAGCAGTGGTTTGTAGTTCTCCTTGAAGAGGCCCTTCACATCCCTTGTAAGTTGTATTCCTAGGTATTTTATTCTCTTTGTAGCATTTGTGAATGGGATTCATGATTTGGCTCTCTGTCTGTTATTGGTGTATAGGAACGCTTGTGATTTTTGCACATTGATTGTATCCTGAGACTTTGCTGAAGGTTGCTTATCAGCTTACAGAGATTTTGGGGTGAGGTGATGGAGTTTTCTAAATATACAATTATGTCATCTGCAAATAGAGACAACTTGACTTCCTCTCTTCCTGTTTGAATACCCTTTATTTCTCTTGCCTGATTGCACTGGCCAGAATTTCCAGTACTGTGTTAAATAGGAGTGGTAAGAGAGGATATCCTTGTCTTGTGCCAGTTTCAAAGGGAATGTGCTTCCAGCTTTGGCCCATTGAATATGATATTGGCTGTGGGTTCGTCATAAATAGCTCTTATTATTTTGAGATAGGTTCCATTGATACCTAGTTTATTGAGAGTTTTTAGCATGAAGTGCTGTTGAATTTTATCAAAGGCCTTTTCTGCATCTATTGAGATGATTATCTGTAGTTTTTATCATTGGTTCTGTTTATGTGATGGATTACGTTTATTGATTTCTGTCTGTTGAACCAGCCTTGTATCTCAGGGATGAAGCTGACTTGATTGTGGTGGATGAGCTTTTTGATGTACTGCTGGATTCAGTTTGCCAGTATTTTCAGTATTTTATTGAGGATTTTTGCGTCGGTGTTCATCAGGGATATTGGCCTGAAATTGCCTTTTTTTTTTTTTTCGTTGTGTCTCTGCCAGGTTTTGGTATCAGGATGATGCTAGCCTCATAAAATGAGTTAAAGAGGACTCCCCCTTTTTCTGTTGTTTG